TTAGGGAATATCGAAAGTCACGTAACTGTAAATTCAAATGCCAACCGTAATTCATTGCCCGATTAGCCATATTATTCTGGTATAATTGAAGATGTGTACTTTCATAAGCGCTTCGTGTTTCATGATTGGCTATCCGAAATGTTTAGTGAATCGCGATCTTCAGCGGCCGCAACAGTGAATTTTGTCACGCCTTACCGACGTGCCACTTAGGACAATGAGCGTTTGTTTTGCGTAACCATGCAACCATTACATCCGTGTAACAAGAAAGTTTGAATCGCCGTTGAATAATTCGCACATTTGGTGACGAAATCGCAGCCGATGTCGCAGCCAATGTCAATGAACTTTACCTGGCATAAAAAGTAAGTGTTCCATTTCTCCAATTATTCTCACCATCGGTCATAGCCGAATTCTCTGCAAAGCTCATACCAAAGCTGAAACATTCGCCAGTTCCTAAATCCAAATCAAATTCCGAGCGCCTGATTGCCGGACAAGGAATATTTTTTCAAATTGTAGAGGAATCCTTTAAACACCGACTGGATACTTATTTGACATGTGAGTGGGATCCGTAAAGAACTAATTGAATTTTCACATTTCAGCCGCCACTTTTTCATCTGTGTTCTTTCAAATGTTTATTCCTTTACACCACGATATCTAATTCTGATGGCGTAAATCTATATTGCTGCGGGTGATAACACTGGAATAGATATTCACTTGGATTACGTGACTATTTGGAAGCTTACACGTTCTCAACATCGTCAGTGTGGGTTCTTCTGGTACCCGAAGCTATAAACATAAGAATTTACGGTAAAATAGACGTTTATGTAGCGTGACGGGGCATTGCGAGGACGAATCAAACAAGTCGACTGCTTGTAATGGAAACTTAGAATTTTGCGCAACCTTGGTGCCACTAACGGTGAAAAAAGAAAGTATGACTGAAAAGGATCCAAACTTTAACACTCTGTATACGCTGAAAAGTTGTATTTTCTTCTTCATTTCATGACTTGTGTAATCTTTTGATGTGTTTAATCTAATTTAATGACCTCCACTCCGTGCCACTTAGATCCCGTAAAACCATGTACATTTTCCAACATATATCAACGTGATGATGCCTGTGAACTGGCTTATCTCATGTTAGGTTACTAATATGAGAACAAAATACTTATTATTATTATTGTTAATAACTTGAACCATCTGAACTGCATACGTAATTTTTCCTAGCAGCCAACATGTGCTTGGAATTCAATTGCTACAGTTACTCACGAAAAAGGTACAACCTTTCCGCCAGTCGCAACGAGCCTCAGTATGTTTACGCAAAGAAACTGAACGGAGTTATACAAAACAGACGGTCAGTGCTTTTGGATGCACTACAAGGATGGGATCAAAACACACCCAACACTGACAAAGACCTGCACTACGGAGGTGCAGCCCCCCGTCTACCTCTCCAAGAACTGTGATGTCCGGAACCTTTCTACCGAAGAAATGGCCATAAGAATACCTGCGTGTACTAAATGTTCTTAGTGCTTGGTTGGAGGATACCTTTACGCGTATTCGGTGGCTGTCACTACAAGAGGTTGGAAACCGTTAATAGACTTATTTGTGTTTACTACGAAGATTATTACTTGTTGCTAATCATTCGGATGCAAAGGCGCATCTATGCAGAATACGCTCGTCCATACACATTTGGGGAGAGAAGGAAAAAGCTGCAGGGTAGGATGACACGGCATTATTTTTTTCTGATGTAGCAGTTTCTCCTCCTTTACTCAAGCCAAACAGTTCATAATACATATTGGAGACAGTAAATAAACAATTGGGATCCGTAAGGACATGTTTATTCACAGTATTTTATTAGCTTCTGTTTACCTGCCGCAAAGCTTTCGCCATGCAACAACTGTGGTCTAAGAGCAACTCACGTTTTGGAAAGAACTGAACCAAAACACGATGGTGTGGCAAATCATAGCAATGTTGAAAATCCCCAAAGTGACTCATTATCATAGCCGAGTCGATTTGTCCATGAGCAGAAACTATGGTATAGTTATGGTGGGCTTTGCTACGTCGTATTAGCATCCACTGTGGCAGGTTAGCAGCCGAAGAAGGTCAATAATAACATAAGCGGAGGGACATACTGATGAAATGGTCGCAGGTGAGAGTGAGAACGCTTCAGCGGCATGTCTCTTTTAGGCATGCATTTAATACTTCAGACCTAGAAGTTTACCCAGCAAACTGAGCGATAACGATGGTCCAGCAAGTGTATCCGAAGTGGAGAGAAGGGGATTCACTTATCTAGGAGCATAAGCTTGGCTTCCTAGCCCTAATGAGCTATTAGAACTAAATAGCGCGATTCTCACGAGAATGATGTCAGCAACCGGGACATGAAACTTCCTGAAGTTTCGAGACCAAGGTGACCAGGTTGTCAAATGCGCTTTAATTGGAGTGGTAGAGCAGTCGCTTTCCTGCTCCTCGAATTCCCGCCCAATGAATTGACATTCTGACTGACTGAATCAACGTAGAACCTCTCACACAAGTGCACCGGCTCAAGTTGCCACGCTTCACAATAGTTTACAAGGGACAGGTGAATAGGATAAGAATGATACTAAAGTAGACAAAGTTGTGCGACAAAATAAAACAACTTGAAAATAACGGTTATTTCGAATATTCATGCTTTGGAAGGTGTCAAGAAGTGAATACTTCTCCAACAATGTGACCGATTTCAAACCATATCACTAAGAGCCCTCAACCACTGATTTCTTTTGCCTTGGGGACCCCTTAACCATGTGGTCTGCATTTCCCAACACCACTTAGGCTAACAGACACGAACTTCACCGATTGGTGGTCTGGCCACCCTGAACCCTCTTGCAAACTAGCCCGGATTCCTCTAACACTAGGACCTCAAGGTAGGCAGTGGTTCGGCATTCACAGTGCGTTTCCAAGTCATTTTAGTCGACTAAGGTTCACAACCTCATCGACTGACTTTCCTGTCTCGCCTAGTACCTTTCGCCTGATCTCAACATTGTTCACACAGACTCCACAAAATGTGAGCAACGTTGTGGAGACACGTATGGTCAAAACCCTGCAACCGCTTCATCTCGTCTACTTTCAACAGCCATGTCTCACAGTTGTATAACAAGACAGGACGGACTACGGCGCAGCATACTCGCCCCATTGATAGATAGTCGGATATCTGGCCAGTTGGTGCCACAGCTGATGCAAGTTGGCGAATGCCCAACGGATCTTCTGTATCTCCGGGCTGAGATTCCGTCGGCGACTGGCGCGTTCGAGCCGACGCAACTCTCTAGGTAAGTGAGGTGATCGGCGCATTCCACGATTTAAACAGGGAGTATTTGTAGCAGACCAGTCCTGGCGCATCATCTTACATTTGACGGGTGTGAATCGAATACCAGGCCTGCTCAAACTTCCACTCAGAGCATTTAGAACGCCTTTCATCTTTTCGGAGTCTTTACATAGCATGATAATAGCGTCTGCATGCTGTAAGTCAACCAGATGACATCCAGGGAGTGTCAGTCCCTGTACCTAAGGTTATGTCCATTAATACGTCTATGACGAAGTTAAATTGGAACAGTGACAGTGGACTTCCCTAGTGGTCTACTGAATGCGTAACGTTATTAATTCACGGAACTGCAGTTAAGAGTTATAGGCGACTGTTTTTTATCTCAAACCAAGGCATAAACACATTCAGAATTTAAGTAATGTCACCGCTCGTGTTGAAGTTTGTGGATCATGCATACAGTGACGATTCAAATGAAGTCCGGCCCAAGATTTATGTTGATGGACTGAGGCCGGCGAAGATACTGAAATCACTCGGGGGATGCTGGCGTAGTCAACAATCGGAAGGCATCATCGGAAAAATCGAAAGCGGCTACTTCTGTGAAAACACGCCAGGAAAATTTATCCTCTTCAGATAACCGCTGCTATAGCTCGCTTTGCCAATTTGAGGTGGAAAACATGGTAACCTTTTATCTAAAGATGATTGATGAGGGATTCTGAACGACGTAAATTCATGATGATGAGATTCATTCATGGTGAAATTGCATAAATATGTCTGGACACATGAGGCTGGCGCTAATACTAAGGCTGAATAATTGTCGAAGTTTGTAATACACAGAAGTTGGGCTCAAGTGTAACCTTCTCTTCTTGAAAGTGTGTTTCATGGAATGCATTACCTCAAGATGTAGTCACAGCTCCCTAGGTGAACTCACTCAAAAGACAGCTGGACGGCTACGTCATTCAGCTTGGCTTGTCACGGAAGTACTCAGGCTGTTGCTGACCTCAGTACCTCTTCCTTCCCTTTCGCCATCCACTATCTATCATGTTGATGCACCCAAGTTGCCTACTAACTCTTCTCCAGTAACTGTACCCTTAATATCTATTTTTACCTCTTGAGAAACTCCAACATATCTTTTTCCTACTGTCTTACTATTCCGATTAGGGCTCTCATCTAGACAGTGGTCATAAAAAACTTCTTATCTCCGCAGCAACCCACAGCTTCATAATCGATCTACAAGCCACAATTTCCAATTCTCAAAACATTAATCTCGCCGGGACTAAGAGGTGGAAGGCGGGAGAGATTTGTCTGCTCAATTCAGGAACAAATGGAACAACAAGAACTAATACCCAAGAAATAGATGAGAGAGATCAGAAACTGTCAGTTTCCTACGCTTTCACTAATGATATGTTGGATGTATGCCTACGAACCACAACTAACTTGCTTTTCTATCCAGCCTCTCTCTTGACCACTGTGGCAGATTTTAATTCAATTCTGGTTTGTTTGCCGGATGAATCATATGGTGACGCATTTAATAAGTAGGCAGAAGTGGAAAGACTATCGTCTCTTTATTAGTTTACTGTCTATATTTGCAGCAAGACGAACTTTTAGTCCACTGCTTATAGATTAAGAGGCTACAAAAGTGAAAAATTCTTCTACCCAGTCAGCAACTCTTACAAACAACAGTGAGACTGATATTTGTTTGTCTAACCTCAGGTTTGGCGAGAATCTGATTCGTTTTGTTTGGGCGGGTCGATCTCTTTGGTTATTTGTTATCTGATGAGGCCCTTTGGTTTAGAACTGATTTATCCAGGCAACTGTAAAACCATTTCATGTGAATTGCCGATAGAAGAGCTGAGAAGGCGCTTAGATGTAGGTATACATATTTTAGGTAATTTCGTAGAGTCTTAGTAAATCTTTGGATAATATAATCGAAGAAGAAAGACTACTTACAGATATCACATTGGATGCAGAACAATCTCAAAAGGCTCAAAATAGTGAAAAATATAAGGGCTTTTCCTTCTTTTATCTTCACCAGAGTTCTTGCAGCACGGGACCAGAGATATACAATTAGGAGTTGGGGTTTGTATCTGCAAGCTTCTAAAGATATTTTGTCCACAAAATCCACTTTGCGGTATTTCAGACGAAAAATCAATAACAAAAGTATTGCACTTTTTCTAAATCACACTTACAGGATGTATTAACTTTTCTGATTGACTGCATTGGATTGCTTTCTAATTTGAGATCAAAATCTGATACAACCTATTCTAAGCTTCGTGTTATGCTCTACGTATGTCACTATCTTTTGTAACATCAATGTTTAGATATGTGCACAAACCGACGTTTTTATGTGGTGTTCAGTTTTAGGGGATGAATCTGTTCTGTTTAAATTCATAAAAATGGTTTTTTCTATCATCAAGTATGGCTTACATTGAAGAATAATAGCTGTAGAAATTTAGATGTGTGGTCCTGGACTGAGGTTTCTGTTGTTCATCAGATGGTTCTAGACATGCTCGTCAAAGTTGTCTCCGATTCGGAGAAGTTTCTATCTCCTGATATTGTTGCTTTCTTGCTCCAGTTTCTGATAGAACCAGCGAAAAGTACTCAGCCAGCTCAACATGCATTCTCCCGAGATGTAATAATCAGGACAGCTGATCAGCTCGAATACCAAATCCAAATGGTAAATTACAATTTTTGTGTCTATTGTTTACAAGCTATTGCAAAACTCCCTTATTGTAGGTAAATGCAGTGAGGAAAAAATTAAAACTAAAAGCAAGCCCGTTAGCTCTCCGGAAAATGTTTTGGATGATAGTGCAACAGTGGATTTGGACGCGTTTGATTCTGAAGATGAAGAGGCGACTCCTGATCCACTTGGAGAGCACGCATTCCCAATCATTTACGCCTTGCACACAATTCAGAACAGTATTGTAGCTCCAGTTCTTCCAACCATTGAAATTAAGCTGAAGTCTCCTATCGTGCGTGAAAGAAAACGATCATTCAGGCTACTAGCACGCTTGTTTGCAGAACCGGTATGTTCTTTCTTTTGATATATGAAGTATTTAAGAATTCTTTACTTCATAGAAGAAACCCGAATCTTTGGGATGCATTCCTGGGACGCTTTAATGACATTGACAGTGAAGTTCGCAAGCTTTGCATTTATATGCTGCCTCAACTTTTGAAGCAAAACCAGGATTTACCACAAGATCAGCTGTTGGCTTGCTTTCAGCAGCGCATATACGATCCAGATGAAGGTTTGTTTTTCAGAATAAATAACCATCGGCTGCGCACAGCCGATAAAATTTGGTGTGCTATTGAAGTACCGATACAGCACTTGTATGTTTAGTCTAATTATCTGTACAATTTGATGCTTTAGCTTTAGAAAATGTAGTTGTTACTTCATACAGTAAAGGGTTTATAGTACATATTTCACGGCAGCACTCGCTCTTTTATCCACCTCGGCATACAGCTTTATGCCCTAGTTGATAAACATTTTTTGTACTAAATTATCGACTTGCCAATTACTGACAAATTGCACAGTCCACCTTGAAGTTTCTCAGAGCTGTCACATGCGTGTTCATAACCTAGGCAGTAAACCACAGCTATTAAGTAAGGGTTACCTGGTTGCTCAAAACTCCATTGTTAAAGCAGAATCTAAACTCAAGAACCACTTATATAAAATCGTCTACCTAGGCCGATGAACCGTAGCATCTCCTGTGACGTTTACGCGATAAGGATCAAATAGGAAATATACGTTCGGTGTTCGAGTCCGGACTGATCTACTGACTTTTGTTTTCGTCAAACGTTCTACCGTAGATAATTAATTACTACTTTTCATGAAAAAGGATTGACGGTTAGGGTTTGCTTCATAAGTTTTACTTTGCAGATGAGGACATCATTGCGCAGTTGTCAGTAGCCTTCCAACTGAAAATAATGTGCAGTTACTTGTATATGGGTTATTTTTGTGCTTTTTATCCACTTGCTCCAAGTGAAAATTTCATTCACCCAGGATTGCTTGTCATCGGTCTTAAATGTTTTTAATTATTCTAGACTATCCCTAAAGAGTTTACTACACAGTTCAACAAGTAAGAATTAGACTAGAAATTAGCCATGTCCCAGTACTGAATCACACTACTTGAAACTGGTGGTTGAAGAAATTAGTTGGAATCGGTCGAGCTCAGATACATTTCCTCTTCATCATAACAACTGAACAGCTTCAACCTCCACTAAATATCAACTTTTGCCATCTTTTTTATTTTTAATGTCCTATTTCCCTTTTCGTGTTTTACTGTGTTGTGCTTTTGTGCTGAACTAAAAAAGTGTAAAATTATTCGAAACTATGAAGCGACCTTATTAAATCTTACAAATCACAGTAATCGGTTCAGCGTTGCATGACCAAAGCATTTTAAAGAAGACGACTCATCAGTTCACTGGCTTTTCAAAATGAGTCAAGGTTCGCGTCGTAGTATTGTGCACTTAAAGTTTTTGTATGCACTTCGTGGTTGTCACAATACTGATGCAAAGGTTACTACCGTAGTTATTTGATGTTACGAAGGCAACAGTATTTGGACACCTGAGGGCTTCTCATGTTCACAGGACAAGTTTTTTAGGCAGTTGGAGATCTTGACCAAGATTTTGAGGGCTGATCGGGCTGGTGTGGGGATTTCATTGGTTACTGAGTAACCAAGGCCTATCGAGCTCCCCGAGTAACTGGGTTGATGAACTTGTTCAACCAATTCACATTCTATCATCAGACAAAGCACAAGTACAGACCAGTTCTAAAGCAACAGGTTTTGTTTTTGAGCTAAAAAACGCACGCCGAATTGTCACTCATGGTCTCCGGAAGACTGCTTCTTTTCAGCATCATTATCTAGGCCTGTTATCAGTGTGCTCTTTGTTTGGTAAGTATTCCGTGACAAGGTTAATACCTCTAAAGTCAACTGACGTCAGTCCGTGATGAGTACTACCTCAATTGTTATTACAGTTTGGAAATAATTACAGCATAACTAAAGCCCGCTGTCATAAGAAGTAACTTGGGACTGAATTCTTAAGTTTACTGTAATAAAGCTTTAGAACCTAAGCATACATGAAGGTATATGTTGAAGTAATTAATCAGACAAACAGCATGTCCTCAAATTATAATACAGGTTTGTGTGGTAGTCTCTAAGCCAGCTTAAAGTAGGTTGAGTCAGATTTAAGCCCTGAACCCATTTTTAAAAGGTTGTCTGCTCAAGCTAGTCAGCGGTATTTCCACAATTAGGATCGTCAGTATATAGAAGGTCTTTCAAAAGCTTGGAAGTAGGATGGTACAAGATACCATGCACAAAATTAGATGTGCTTTCTTTCCTATATATGTGGTAGTTTATCATTTATAGTTTTCAAATAAGCTATTACTGGTCTTGTTTTTTTAACGGGTTTTACCCACCAATAAATTTCAAGATCAGTCATGGCGTCATGCTTTTACAGTAGACACAGTCGTAATCTAGTTATTTGGATTTTATATTTTCGCACAACTTAGATTTATTCTGCTTCACTATTTGGTATCATCAGAATGATTTAATAGCTTTTTTGCATTCTGGCTGTCAAAAAATGTGTCATCTCAGTGGTATAAGAATATTATTTTTGCTATTTAGATCATATTAGTCGCAAATGTGTTGAAAGAATTTAAGTTCCTTCGGACTGAGTCATTTGAAAACTGTTAAATATAATCCTATCGTGTTTAGAGAATTGAAACTCATCGATCTTTGTATAATGGTACATATTTGTCCTATATATCATTGATTTTGTGGTCATATGTGTTTTCCAATAGTATTTTTTCTAATTGCAAAATGTCCTTTTGACTTCGTCTTTCATTTAAAAAGATGTCCGATTATTGGCATTGCGAACAATGACTACTCTTAGCAAGCAATCTGAAAGTGAAATTAGTGATGATATCTTCGAACTCTTGAAGGAACGTTCTAGAGATAAAACCCTTTCTATTCGAAAAGAAGCTTCTTCTGCTTTATCATCTCTATATAAAGGCAGTCTACAATCAAGATACTTGTCCGCTGCCAAATCATCATCCGCGCTGAATACAGTTTTACACTTGTATTACCAAAATTCTTTGGATGATAAGTAAGTTCCATGGGACACCTATAGTAGCGTAATCTAGTATATATCATTTTGGTGTGGTGCTTTTTCTAGTAATGAGGACTACGTCGGGTGTCGATTGTTTGACTTTAAAAATAGATTTAGTGAGATTACAGCAACCGCGTTAATACTCCATGCATTAGTTGAAACATACATCGTTTTTTCATTTTCAGCTATCCGCTTTATGGTGTGCATATACAGCGACTCATTATAATCGTGTGGTGATCGATGAAGTTAAGCTTTGGAAAAAAGACATTTAGCCTCATTATCTCTCGTGAGGAGGGAACATTTAGTTTGTTTTCCATTACCACCTTTCATGCCAAGGAAAAGACATGTTTCCCCGTTGATACTTGTCAATACTAAAGGTTTCTTGATCGCAATAAGTTTTAATATTTCCATTTTTGCCCTATCGTTTCTACGGATAGTGAAGGGAAACGTAGCAAAAATTCAGGATGTTGTAGACTTTGTTTTGATGGGTTTGTTTCCCTTTGAGATATTAGATTTTTGAAATATAGGTATGTTAACAAACCTACTGCGTTCTTATTGGTCATATTGAAATTCTCAGAATGTACTTTGAATTTCTGACTTACCGGTGTGAATTATCAAAATACTTATCAATTTTTCCAGGCTGACCCGTTTATAGTGCAGTTTTTAAAACTGAAACTAACAAGTAGTTCCTTTAGTTATTTGTGTGCGGTTGCTGAACTGCGATAACTATCCATTACTTATGCAGAAAAGTGTGGAAGTAAGTTAATATGTAATGTAATTTGTTGGTTGGACCTTATTTTCTTTATAGTGCTTAGTTTACAGTAGGAGTATGGCCTATGAATATCCCCTCATTACAAATGTACTGTTTGTAGAACAGCACCTAAGGAATTTAAAATCTGTCCCTGTAATGTAGCAGCTGAGTAGTTGTGGTGTAAATGAATGAATATTAACCTTTCACAGCATCTAGTATTATGATTACACCACCTCATGTGAGAAAGATCAAAAACAGTTATCCTGTTTCAAGCCACCTACTGAGATTTATCCTTGAGGATGATCCTTTCTTACCCTATTCATTTTCTGTTAATAAGTAATTTCTCCCATTAACAATTGTTCCATAGGATTATTGTGGAGCGACTACTTAAAAGTTCAATTATCCCCTATCACTTCGAAAATTTAATCCGTGTGCAAGCCTTATTCCGCTGTTACAGTTTGATGGATGAAGCTTCGATGAAGGTGATGCAGGAAATTTTTAAAACGCAATATAGGTAAGTTTACTGACATATTGATTATACCATTAGAATGCCGATATAAAATAAACTTTCTCGCATGATTTTCTAGTTTCCCGTGAATAATATTAATAGGAGTGAAGTGATAAAATTATTTTCGAGATTTTTTATGCAGTGAAGAATCGCGTTGTGATTATTGTACCGTTGTTTTTCTTTTGACATATAGTTGAATTTGTAGAGCTTGCAGAGATTCACTGCTCATCCCAACTTATTATGAAAAGATTTTGAGTAGATCCCATGTTTTTCATGTATTTTATTCGTCATGACTGACTGAATCAACGTAGAACCTCTCACACAAGTGCACCGGCTCAAGTTGCCACGCTTCACAATAGTTTACAAGGGACAGGTGAATAGGATAAGAATGATACTAAAGTAGACAAAGTTGTGCGACAAAATAAAACAACTTGAAAATAACGGTTATTTCGAATATTCATGCTTTGGAAGGTGTCAAGAAGTGAATACTTCTCCAACAATGTGACCGATTTCAAACCATATCACTAAGAGCCCTCAACCACTGATTTCTTTTGCCTTGGGGACCCCTTAACCATGTGGTCTGCATTTCCCAACACCACTTAGGCTAACAGACACGAACTTCACCGATTGGTGGTCTGGCCACCCTGAACCCTCTTGCAAACTAGCCCGGATTCCTCTAACACTAGGACCTCAAGGTAGGCAGTGGTTCGGCATTCACAGTGCGTTTCCAAGTCATTTTAGTCGACTAAGGTTCACAACCTCATCGACTGACTTTCCTGTCTCGCCTAGTACCTTTCGCCTGATCTCAACATTGTTCACACAGACTCCACAAAATGTGAGCAACGTTGTGGAGACACGTATGGTCAAAACCCTGCAACCGCTTCATCTCGTCTACTTTCAACAGCCATGTCTCACAGTTGTATAACAAGACAGGACGGACTACGGCGCAGCATACTCGCCCCATTGATAGATAGTCGGATATCTGGCCAGTTGGTGCCACAGCTGATGCAAGTTGGCGAATGCCCAACGGATCTTCTGTATCTCCGGGCTGAGATTCCGTCGGCGACTGGCGCGTTCGAGCCGACGCAACTCTCTAGGTAAGTGAGGTGATCGGCGCATTCCACGATTTAAACAGGGAGTATTTGTAGCAGACCAGTCCTGGCGCATCATCTTACATTTGAGAGGTGGGAGACACATGCCAAACATACTGTTTTTATAGGTGCAATTATATTGGTTACAGAAAGGTTTTTTAAATTTCTAAAAGTAAAATCAGGAATTCATAGCGTTGTAATTTCCCCGTTTCATTTGTGGTGTGATTCGATTGTAACCGCATAAGATCTTCCAAATATTTTACTTTAGTGCCCTCAATCTTCTTCGTGGCGTTGTCAAGTTACTGAATAACCATAATGATAGTAAAATTCCTCCTGAAGTTAACACTGAAATTATGGATGTGATACAACGTTTCAGCGGTGAGTATTCAAAGGTCATTCTTTCAAATTTGAAAATAACTTTGAAATCTTTCCGTCGAATATTCGAAGGATAATTTTTATTTCATCCTCTTTTATTTGTTATCTCCTTGATGTAATATAATTTTGAATTAGATTCCATTTTCTTAGAGTATGATTTGCTACCAGGTAGAGATACACAGCATTACACAACTTCGTAAATACTAATTGGTGCATTTCACAACAGTATAGACTACAAATAAAAAAGGGTGTTTTTCAGAAAATCATTTGCAAACGAAAAGGTTGAACAGGTTTCAGGCGTGAGTGTGGGTGCGATAATGATCTCTTCACTAGTCAGCAGATTTTAGAATCCAAACTTGCCTATCATCCTACACTAGCCATTCTACTGAACCTTTAAGTTGCCTTTAACTTAACTGAAAGCATACAATAACTTGGTCTCAGCACCGGCGAATAGTATTGAAGTAATCGGAATTATTCGATTTCAACATTTCTCTTTAATTTTACTTTCTCTAGTATTTTGAAAGTCGCATCACTGTCATATCATCAGGCAAACTTCGTTTACGAGAGTACTAACTTAAATTCTTACAGTTCTGAACAGTTCAGAAGCAAGAATCAAAATATATAAATACAAGGTGGGAATTCAAGGTTAGATGAAAACTTGAGTCGCAGAGTCAAACGAACTGCACTTGGCCTGATCAGGTGACTCAAAAAAAATATAGTGTCAAATCTCTCTGCCAAATGTCACTGTAGTTTGAAAATCACGGGATCAGAATTATTCTACCTGAATGATATGTCGAAGATGACCTATAGTAATCAAGATATAAGTTATATTTGGAAAAATCTCAGCGTGTTTGAAATAGGAAATTCCAACGTTTCAAATGCGCTAAGATCTGTCAAGATACGACATATCTGATATCAACTTTTCACTCGTTGCCCAATATGTGTGAAACCATCCTATCAAATCTTGACGAGAATTCTTATAAATCAAGGAGCATGCTGGAAATTTGGACACCAGTACTTTCGTAAAGAGTTACGTATGCAGACCTTTGTGATGGTTAACATCGGTTACAATTAGTAATGACATTACTTACTGGAATATTAGTTTTATAATTAATATCAGCAGTGAAATAATGTCATGCAGAGACCTATTGTAGGTCTATTTCCCACTGACACGCTTTATCTAGGATTCGTGACCAGACCTTTGCTTTTCATCCACACATCAAAGAACAACCAGTGTATATTGGCTGAAATATCACGATTCAGATATCTAAAAGAAATATATCCAGTCAAAATGCTTACTTTTTTGCAAAACAGAGTAAATGATGGCACTAAGCAAGGTGTGTACTACGAAAAAACCTAACAGATCGTCTGAAACGCAAACTGGAATCAGTAGTTTCCTTTCCGTCACTTGCCTGTAGTAGATGTTAAAGTTATTGTTATGATCGTTTCTACCACAAGTAATGACATAAATCCCAATCACAATACGAACTTTGAATTTTATGTAGATGGAATCTGTATTTTTGAATATTTGTGTTGAACAACTTCAAATAATCTTTTGAAACAAGAATATAAAAAGCAACATTTCTTAACAAAACTGAGTCGCTTTTCTGGCCAATTATCACGGCTATTTGTTTGTAACCTACTCAACCATATTTTGGGATAAAGGGGATAAGTTTGTGAGCTTGGAATATTAATAGGGCTATCTGAAATCCCCGTGGTTTGACAAACTAGTGTTATTCAGGGTGATTAATGATTGAAGGTGAAGTGAAAAACAGAGTCTTGGCAAGATTCAAAGCAGCCACCTACGGGGTTACCGACCTGGTTGTCTACCAACTGAACTACGAAACCTAACTGCTAACCAGGTTCTAACTGCAATCACTGAAGATTTTACATGACTCTCAAGTGAATACATTTTGCATAACTGTTGATTCATCGTATCGATACTAACCAACCAACCAGATTCTCTCGTCTGGATGTAAATCAAGCTGCATTATATAGGAAAAGTGTCAGATTGTTGGTAGGACTATCTAAGATAGCTGTGGTTTGGGAGACTGTTGTTATTGATACTAAGTGATGATTAAGGGTGAAATAGCCTGAGCTGTAGCCAGATTCGAAGCATTAGTAAAATGATAAGGATTTTGAAGACGGTCTGAATATATATATATATATATATATATATATATCAGTTTATTTCTGGTCTATGTCGGAAATTAAGCAGTTTTCACCTGATTAGTTCCTGTTCAAACTAACGCACTAGGGCAAACCGTTACTCACTTTTTATTATTAAGCTTCGTATAGAAATTTCCGTTTTCAAGATTTACTTTTTCATGAAATCAAACAATCATGTATAAGCTACTCAATTGTACGAATTCCTATTTTTCCTATAATTGTCCCCAAAATACTTAATTTTCCCATTTTTACAAGAAGAATAAATAGTGAATCCGGATATTTAAAAACTCTGGTAAGTCCTTTTTGTTCATGGTTAGCGTTAGATTAAGATGCATTGAGCATCCGTAAGCAATAAGATATGATATTCACAGTTGGTATTCGTAATCCCATGCATGTAAAAAATTCTCTGCTGTTTAACTGTTTAATACGCAATCTTTTCACTTTTGTATTGAAGCCTTGATACCAAAATCTGAAAGATCTGTGGAACATCTGAAACGTTTTTTCAATCAAGTCCACAAAGATAAAGCACTTCGAAAGTATCTGCTTAAAATGACAAAACCACAGAGTACTTGTGTTGAGGCAACAACGGCGTTGGTAAGTTTACTGTCAATACCTGAAATCCTTTTCATAAAAAAAACAATTCGTGAAAATTCAAGTGTTTTTTGTATTGGGATAGGGGGACTGATTGAAACGTCTAAATGTTTACACATTTGTATCCGTTTTACACTTCTTATCGGTTACTTTTTTGATGAGTTAAACAGCCAGAAAACGGAAAGCGGTTTTGACAGAATGGATAAAGTCATTTCGAAAAGTCATGAAACGTAATCTTCGTCTACAAAAGTTCAGCAGTGTTTGGTTAGTGTATCAATTCCTTGAGGTTTTTGTTATAAACAGTTATGATTTTCAGTAAAAGGAGTTCGATTAGACTCAACAACCAGTAGGCATTCTGTGCACTAGGCAACCAACCATATTTATTATTTGAGAGTTGTAATGTTGCCTACCTGGCTGCTCAAACCTTAGTAAATGGGTTGGGTCTCGAACGTGTCACCCATCTGTTGAAGGTAGACTGCTTAAGTCAGTGAACGAAAACTGTAAGAAGTTTCTAGTGTCATGGTTATCCTCACCATCCTGGTTTCTCTAGTCTGAAAGTTGATTTTTTGCTCTGAAAAACTGTCATTCGTACAAAAATCTGCTTGCACTGCTAAGAAGTATTACGTTTTTAGTGACCGTGGGTCTTGTAATGTTTACTTTTAATTAAGATGTACATCTAGTGAATGTATTCTAAGTGAAAACGTCTCATGGTTATTAACTTGTTATGCTATACGATTCAGATAATGGCGTAGTTTCCAATCTTCATTAATATCTTTGTATTTTACGTTCATCAAAATATCTTGAGTTTATCTAATTCAAGTGTTTACTATTTAGAGAGATATATTAAAGAAAATTGGTGCAATAACAGGAACCGAGAATAGTGCGAATGATAATCAAATAAATTATGCACGTGTTGTTAAAGTTTTACTGGAACGATGCGCGCCAGTTTTATTTGATCGAGAATTTGGCAAGGAATTAATCAATCAACTTACTATTATTAAAGAATCTGGTTCTTCGTCTGAGAATATTGTGTCCATAAACGTTACGCGTTCATTGTGCTTGTTGTTTGCAATATCGGTTTATTTTAAAGTGAGTCTATTCGTTCGGGTATATATATTTCCAGATTGTACTGCTCCGCTAATTCTTTGAGTTTATGTGCAAGTTATTTGTGATAGTTGGCTATTGGCGCTAGGTGACTTTATTAAGAATTAATCAAAAGTTCATTCTCCTGCTTTACCATACTTTTCTGTCTTTATCAGGATAGTAAACCACCTTACTACTTTCCTACTATCACTGTTTATCCATTCAACCACTGGTATTGAGGTATTTGATAGATAAAATCAGGTTCAAACCATACACCTGAGCTTTCACATACACCTTATTCATATATTGCCTGAAACCAATAAACAGAGTCGTGGAGTTTTTGGTGTGTAGATATTTTTAGAAACTTCAGGTTGATATCCATCATGGATTGACATCAGTTGGAGAAACATTGGAAACCTGGGAGCACTGGACAGTTGTTTCATCCTAGTATGGGACCCTCCTGCAGTGTGCGCCCATGACCCCGCCAGAGATTGAACTTAGGACCTTCAGATTTCGTAGCTGACACGTTACCCCTAAGCTACTGGGTCTATATTTCCTAATTGTGTCAGTTCACGATACATTTTTGGAGAAATTTCAGAACTGTCAATTCGTAAAAGGAGTAATATGACGGAAGAAATTTAAATATGTAGTTTTATTCGAGGGAATCAATACCAATAGTTGTATAATTCAAAAATCCTGAATACTGTAAAGTATTTCATCTAACCTTTTAATTCAAGGTAGAGATCTACAATAATTAACTGGTTGGTTGAATACATTTTACTGAAAGTTGAAGCCAGATAATGTCATTAAGGTAAAATTGCGGCCGAAATTGATGGCAAGAAACTCTAGGTGATACGGTTCGAAATTGTCTTCATGGTGCAAACGCACTGACGCTTTGTTTTCATCTTAATCATAACATCATACTTCGTTACTGGCTTCATTCTCTTTTGTTTTATCGTTTTCTTTGACCCGGTTGTTTATTATTTCCACGTCTTTCGTCTTGTCTTCTTGTATATTGACGTGAAGTGTGCTTAGTTGGATCGTTTCACAGTAATGGCAAATCTTATGCTAATAATGAGTTCTACTTCAGCTTCTAAGTGTTGGGTTTGTTTTTCAAAATTGAAGATACCTGACTGATAGAATCTCATACAAGAGTTCATTAACCCTTACCAAACTTTACAACAACACAACAGGAGTAGAAATTCACCGAAATAAACAAGAAATGTCTGAGGGGCGAAAGATCAAAAGTTTGAAGGATAGTTAATTGTTTTTAGGTACTAAAATTATAGTGTTAATCTGTCATTGTCATTGTGATTAGTTTTGAACCTTATCATCAACCTGTAACATTCTGAGGACTTTTGCCATGTAACCTAAACTGTGCAAACTAAGGTCAATGATTTCATAGATTAGTGTCCAGCCATTCTTGGTTTTTCGGAAACTAATTTTTTGCTAGAATTAATTAAATTTTAGGAGTAGATAATTACTAGGACGCATAATACATCTTCAAGTTGCTTCAGTCAGTGTCTTTTTATAGTAAATGAACTTCAGATGCATGCGAAAACGAATATTTTAAAAATCAGTGTGGCGAAAATCTCTCATAACTTTATTAAAATGTCAATAATCATATGTAACAAATAAAATTCACAGTTTGCTGTATCAATTTATTCATGCTAATTATATTTATGTTATCTACATTTAATTACGTAATATTAGCATGCTAACTACTGTCGCATTGTTTAGGTCTCACTTTAAGGATAGTTTTTGGAATCCATGTACACCCACCTCTAGTCTTGTTAAGTTATGCTCCAAGTTCATCTGTTACTCTTTTTTACCGTCTTATCGCAGAAATTACACAAACTTATCTGATTTTTTCTCCCTGTTATATTAAGCAACCTACATTTTTATTGGTCTTTTAAGAAGTGTGTTTTAAATCAACATTATCTCATAAATCTTATCTTGTATACTTCATTATTATTCTTTTATCAGATGACTTGATCTAATCTTTATTTCTCTACCATATGTTAAGCTGTAAGCTAGTGTAAATAATTCACCAGTTTTACTAATTATTATTATTATTTTTTACCTTCATTTTAATTTTGTATCATTGAGTTTTGGGTGAAACAGTTTGTGTTATTTTCTGCCTTTATAAATCAACTTTAGGAAATACTACCATCGGGTAAAGTAATGGATTATCTACTCGGTATTTTATCCGATGAAAACTCTTTTTCAGATAATTGTACTGTTGATGAAAACAAATCGAATTCAGTTACTTCTGATTTTGATACCGATCCGTACACACTACAAGAGATGGCTTTAAATGTAAGCGATACAACATATTTGTGTGTTATATATCTTATGGTTTTTACTTTGTTCTTTTATTACATTTTCGAAAATTGTTTTCATGTACTTAGTATTCCGTAGACATTGCGTATAATCTATTACAGCAGCAGTGAGAAAAAACCGAAATATGATACTTGAGTTATATCACTGATAAGGCAAAATTCCTACTGCAGAATAGTGTTCAGCAAAACAGTTTTCAGTTTTAAAGGTGTTAAAGGTGCTTTTTAAATACTTTTTATTCATTTGGGAACAAGCCGTTTATCTTCATCGTAAAAGTATTTCTCTTGCTCTTATTTTGAACGGGTTTTTATTAGGTATTAGTTGTAGCATTAGCAGGTGGAAATCTGTTTCATACTTGTAAAATTGATGTTATGATGTTCTCCTCTAATGAATTACTCTCTATGATTTTTCAGATTCTTTGTTGTGTACTTGGTGGTGGTCCCAGTGGTTCACTTAATAAATCTGAATCTAATGATGCTATTCAAAAGGTTTCTGACGAACAGTCAATTCTTAATTACACTCAGTTAAGTGAGCGTTCAGATGAACTTTTACCAATCCTACATCGTTTTTGCTGCACAGGAATTACTACTAACACTCAAAAGTCAAGTCAAAATAAAAATGTTACAGAAAAGTCTACTAAAAGTATGTTTCTCACTTCATATTGCATTCGTCCATTGGTATTTTGTGCACTTTAGGTCTCACAACCCCTTTTTTTTTCCTCATTTGGCAATGTGAATTCATTGCTTTATGAGCATCCTTCCATTTTATCCAAAATGCTCTTTGTTTTCCAGTCGTTGTCATTGAATTTCAAGAAAATTAAACTATGCTTCTTCCACTTTAACCTTTATCACATAGACAATCAAAGGGCATTGAGACAGGGGACGAAAAAACCTTCACTTGGCTTGAATGCAGAAGAAATTGCACATATGGGCCTTCTTTGGAGACGTGAGCGCCGTCGTTCCAAGTTGTCAGTGCGTGTTCTCTTTTATTTACATAACGTGGTACTTCACCTCATTGGCTCAGAAAATAAGTCGGAAAAAGTTGATCTGGATTCAATTAAGGATCATAATAAATCATCAAATGATTGCTTGTCTGCTGAAATGATAAGATTGGTTTCATTGGAATCAAAAATTAAAGGGACTCTGGATGACATTGTTCAGGTAAATATTTTTAACATTGTCAGTGCATATTTTCGACTTTTAGATGTGAAAGATTCCTTTCTTCAAGGAAACACCGTTTATGATACACATTATGGTATAGATTTCACCTGGTTATCTTGTATTGGCTTTTGTAACTAGTCCTTTCTTGATACATGAAAGTATGTATAACTACGGTTCACGGTTAGTAATCATGGTTTTTTGTGAAAATCCCTAACTATCTAGCAACTGAGAATTTTTTGTCCTTCTCTTTCTAATAATCTATCAAAAAAGTCCTACATGAAGTTGATGATCATAATAGTTGATTATAAATAAACTGCACATACATGGTCTTTTTGAAAATTGAGCTGCTAGATTTAAGTCACCGAAATGTCAGTGGTCAATGATTTTAGAGTGTATAGCATGGTTTAAAATGGATTACTGGCGCAGATGTCTTCGGAGGTTTAAACATTTTTACTGTTTAGCATTTTAATGTCGTTCTATTTCTGTCCACTTCTTGATTTTATGATGTTTTTACGCGTGACAACTTAAACCTTTTTGTGCAATGTTCTACACTCATTCTCCCCTATCTAATGGTTCAAAAGCGTGAAAAGGTTAAACAGACTACTTAGTGCTAGGATAGATATTTTCATACTATAAAAGCTGTAATGCAATCTCATACTTATGAAACAGGTATATTATACTGTTAGAGGGTCTGTAATCAAACTCAAGCATTTCTCAGGGATTCATATACCGTCTAGAGAGTATCTGACCGCCTTGGAATATGCGAATGACATAATCTTAGGTGTTGAAAATTCTGATATAACATAAAGTCTTCTGAAGACTAAGGGTTTCATACCAGTTACATGTAGGTAAGATGAGGCTTTAGGACAGGTTAGAATACCGTAACTATTTTGGTTACTTAGGAATTCGCAGCAGTCTTCATAAGCTGATTGACAGTTCTATTCTAAAGGAGCTACCAAGTGTTCATTCGACAGTTGACAACCTATGCCACAAGTGATAATAGTGACTCGTCCAACTTTATATCAAAGAGCTGTAAGACCTTTTTAGCGGAAGTGTTATGAGATAAATAGTTTTTTAACCGTAAAAATCTTCATGGCATTGCTTGCATTAAACAGAACCGTGAAGTGAAACAGAACAACTGTGGAGATTCTCCGAATTGTATATAAAACAGTGTTGCTTGAAGTCGCTATAAAATAAGATAAATGTATCTCCGATGATTTCTCGTTTCTTTTTTGACCTAGTGTAGCAATTTAACCAGGTACTCAAACACACTAAGCACCGTGTTAACGTGGTTTATTAGCGCCACATATTTCGAACAGTCTAATGAGATGATTTATACAAAAAAACTGGATAAGGTTTGTTGAAGGAAGAAAAAGGAATAATAAGGGCAGAGCGGAAACAAAGTTTTGTGTAAGCGTAAATTGTGCTTAAATGCAAATGAGGGGTTTAAATTTATTCATGACAGGGGAGTTTGATAAATATAATCATTCAATCTTGACCATATCTATAGAACCTGGTGAAAGCCGTCTTGATCATCGTCCTATCACCGGTTTCTAGTGTATGCTTTGCGCTTGGTAAGGGGAGTTTGACACCAAGACTTATCAAAATACTAGAGGTAATTTGTTTTTGTAACCACATAAGCTTGTGTTCAACTATTCTCCCATGATTATTCCTCTCTGTGTATGCGTTTCCACATATGCAAGATGATGGGTACTATGACATGTAATCTTTTTGTTCCCATGTTTAAGTTTTGGTTGAAGCATAGGTTCTTGTATTTTATAGTAGTATAACCTTGGCCGGTTGGCTGCTATTATTGTTTTTCTATCTAATAGCAATTATTTATGATGTACTGTGTGTCTCAATATATACTCCAATTACAGCATTCCTAAACTATGTTTTTTTCTTAAAACCTACGATGCTCATGAGCTGGTTTTATTCACTCCTTTGTTGTTGTGATATTCTAATTAGTGTGGTTGGATGTTTCACGTACTTAATGTTGGAATTCTGTCAGAAAGACCTATGAGATGGTCATACCAAGAAAGAACTGTGGTTTTGGATGGATTACCTCACCTTATTGACTAGTCATTAGCTTGATGAAATGTTACTGTTACAGCCAAGTTATTATGAAATCAATTATAGTAACGACATCTATAGTTTACTACTTCAAATTAAGAATACCCCGTGAATTGTAGGGAAAGTTATCTATCTGTTTATTGTTCAGCTAGAGCATAGTTGAATGTCTCCGTGATCTCCGCGAACAATGCTAAGGTGTTTGATATGCGTTTATAACCTATCGGAGATAAATGTTACTTCCCACTTTGGTTAAATGGATATTCAGTTTAGTAAACAAGAAAGTGATTGGTACGTGAATCACTTCTCTTATCTATCTTTTGTGTTCAGACGACATTGTAGAGCAGTGCACCGCTATGCTGGTTAACAGGATGCTTAGACCACCAACAACTTCACCACTCTGATAAACAAAGGCAATGTTAAGAGAAAAAATAAACTTTGAATGAGAGCTTTATTATTCCTCGCTAAAGTTAATTTACAACACTTTTATATGATAACATGGAGTTTGGCCTTTCCCAAATGGAGATCGTTGATGTGTTAATAGTTAGGTTAACTTGTAGGGAAAATGTTTGGGTAGGCAGCTGGAAAAAACCACCGTTCGATCATGATATAGAAAAATCCATTAAAACGATAAATTACTATACATGAAACCTGGGATTTATTATTTATTTACTTTGTTGTTCTTAAGTTACGCTATTTGTACTAAACGCAAGATTTTGAAATACTCATCAGAATTAGAATGTAAGGCTCAGCAACCTGCTCTTATTATGTAGCTGGAAAACGTGATCCTCTACGATGAAATTTTTACTAATTTTAACAGTATGTAATTGCAAATGCATTCGAAGCAGAGCATATTAGTTGCAACTAATAATGAGCCTAACAATTGATCAACCAAATTTCTTTTTGTGTGGATTTCTGCCATGTTGTGCCAACCTGATATTTATTATTCTTTCGTTTTATAAGTACTTAAATATGACCCAAACTAAGTATTTTGTTCTACACATTAAAACTCTTTGGTATATTTTATACCTTCCTAAAGCTATACTTTATCTATTTTGGTTACACTGAGCTGTGTTAAGAACACAGTTTTGAGACAGGTAATCTGTCTTTCAGCCCTGTGTTGTCCATATTAGCTATGAGGATTAGGAAATTCATTGGCAAGTTAAATCCTACAGAGTTTGTTTGGTAGCACTTAAGGGTTAAAAGTTTACAATATTATGTAAAAGAAAGGAGCCAAAGATATCATTAGCCCATGAAACCTGTTACTATTTATCTCAGTTATGTAAAAAGTATATTCCTTTACTATGCAGCCTTTGGGATGCGAGAAACAAATGGTTTGAAATCCTATGTTAAATAGTTTGAAAGTAGACATAATGGTGCGGATAAAGTAAAGACGAATTAGGAAAAGATTTACATAAAAGTATGAGCTACATCAAAAGTATGATTTTCTTCACCTAGACTAATGTCAACACGCAACACTATGTACTTACGTAAATTATCCAAGGTGGGTAGATACCCTGCTCACTTTACCACCATTTGCCTCTTACAGTTTGAATGTAATTATTAGGACAGTTATTCTAGAAGGGTAGACAAAATAGCTATGACTAAATTTTCTGAACAACTTCGTGGCAGTTAGCGGCTGAAAGGAACAGTCTTCATTTGTACAACTATCCGACATCAAATGATCATGCAGCATGACTTTAAATTGTGTATAAATGATAAAAATTTATACAAATATTTACAGTTGGCTTCATTTCTGACTCCATCAATATTACAATGCTTTGCAGCACTGTTAACTCAGAAAGGTTTCTTTTTATCTTTTTCTGTTCATCATTCACTTTCCTACATATATACACTTGAATTACCATACTTACGTTGTTTCAGAATTGTAAGTTATCACTCGAGGCATTACTTGTACCTTCTTTTGAACATCAAAGTAATATTAAGCTTCCTACGTCAGGTTATTTTTTGAGACACATGGATATTAGATGGCATTAGACAGTGCTCATCAATTCTTATGAATCAAAACAAAGATTATGGGACATGTAACTAATCTTTGCACTGATATTCTAATTAGTATGTCTCTAGAGGGAGTTAGCAATCAGCTCAACACTGACTATCTACCAAAATTGCTTTCTAATGTTGTCACCCTAACCAATTTCATTGCGTTATTGTTTGTGACAGCATGCATCGCGATGGCTGAGATCTTGTCTAGATTTTTTATCTCATTAGGGTCTACCATTCTATGTTTCTCTATGTTTCTATGTTCTCCTAGCCTAATTAATGTCGACTAATTGATTAGTTCAGCTTATATAGTTAACCTCACAGTCCATTACATGGAACTCAGTAGACCGAATCGTATTCCTAAGTAGGTCCGATGCGATCCCCTAGACTGCAGAATTCGCCCACATATGACCTCATAGGTTTGAACGATACTCGAATCCTTGCTTGATTAGGAATTATATGTAGGGCCTCTGCTGTTGCTTCCTCATAAGGTAAAACGGTGATTTTAAAATCCTTTCCCGTGGTGCCACTATTATAACTGTTTGTGTCTGTAATTATGTTATTCACAGATTTTTTTTACCGCTCCAGGTGTATATCTAAATAAGATCTCAAGGAAACATCATTTATGTGGCTCATTTCTTGACATAGGTTTTTGCCGTACTAGCCAGTACCATATTAATTAGTATGTTAGTGTAGTGGTTAGTTACATCACAGCTAACCTTTTAGTAGTACCATACGGCCTTCTGAGATTATTAGTTCTAGCCGCCAAATTAAACCATTTAGATTCACCAAAAAATAGTTTTATTCGGCGCATTTGATCGACTATCGATCTCTTCACTTAATTCATAATCGTAATCACTGGCTTCTTAATTTCTTCATATAGTCCTGTTTGGATACTTTCGTTAACTTTCTTAATATAGTCGGGTTTGTCTGGTATTACAAACAAAGGAAAGCTTTAAGGAGCCTTCAGAATGGTAGAAATATAATAATAGACAAGTGCGATAAAGGTGTTTCCACAGTAATAATCAGGGTAGTGAAGATAGAGATTGAAAGCTGAAGTTTTGTTTATCCAGTCGACACTTGACACGTGTAACAGAAATAACGCAACACTGATTCCAGATATGTGAGAATTTTACTGCCAATTAAATGGAAGACTATAGAATAATTGAACTATAAAAACTAGACCAGAAAGTTATGTGGTCATCTAGATATGAATATGGACAATAAATTCTTCTCGAAACGTCATCAGTAAATAATACTGTCTTACTGTATGATAAGAAATATCATAGAAGCAATTCGATGAATGCCATGCGCTTCTTTGAGAATCACTTTATTGAGAAGTGAATACTGAAGGCTATCTTTGTGTTTAGGAGCTGGATTTACGAAACGACAGTGCAAACTTTTTATTTTAAAGTGCCACCTTACTTTATTTGAGGTATTCTTCCTAAATTACCCCCCTTTTTTCCCCTTAGGTTTGTATTTCTTGTCCAGTTCTCTCCAGCGACTACATAACCTGCCTTACTTCATTGAGTCACATCGGTCTATTGTTTCCTGATAGCTACAATCATGAAATTAAAAGGTTGATTACGAAATCTTTGGTACAAGTGTTAGCATCTGAACCAGATGATATGTCGAATCCAGGACATAATGGAATCCAAATCAACAGCACCACATCAAATATCTTGGCTGTTCAATCTAAATCAGGAGAAAATACTCTAAGTTCTTGGTCTCCTGATGGATTGTTAAGCGTTTTGACTAGAGCAAAGGTAAATATTAGATAATATCTTAATATACTTATTCTGTTTGAAACCTTTAATTGCCATTGTTCGAATAAAAATCAAGTTCATTGTACTATCTTTGAGATTGCGAAAGAAATTCACAAATCTGAAGTAATGAGCGAAGTATAACCCCGCTTTACAATGCATTATCTAGTGAATAAACTTCGGGGTATAGTATTAGTACCTAAAAGGTAGCACAGGGATAATCCAATTACTTTTGGAAATTGTAGAGTTTTTCTAGCGTTCTGAATGTTATCCCCAGTAACAACTCATCAAAAGACTTATATTTTAAAGCTGACAGAATGAAATAATATAATTATTTCTTTCAGTATCTCCAGTGCCAGAAGATTATCAAGTCAGTTTGAACTATTTTGAATGTTTTGTAATAATTAAAAACTTAATAAATCTCCCAACCTTGCTGGTTCTTTCGTATAAGTTGTTTTTTTTATAACTTTTTCTTCATTCAGCTTTTAAATATATGCATAAGTCTGTTGCTTATGTTTTACTTTTGACAGAGAAATTAACCGCGTTTAATTAGGTTTGGTATTAAAACCTCCGTAAAAATATGTTTCATTAATATATCTGTAACTGCTCAGATTGTTTAAGCAATCCGATAATAATCAAGTATAATAGACCGCTTTGTTCCAAATTTTTAAAAGGTGTTTTGGTTGAAGTATGTCTGTTTTAGTTCAGTGAAGGTAAAGCTGTCTATTATCCTAATAGCTAAAAGAGGGAAAAAGACTGTAATTTACGGATGTGCTTGTTTAAGTAAGTTATTTCTCAGGATTCACAACTAGATCCGCCACTGCCGTCTTTACATATATATCACATAAAAGAATATTTCCCCGGAATTAATCAGGCAATGAATTTCGACGTGTATTCGTTTCCTGTAAGCTATCGTTCAAGCGACAACGGATTTTTCAGGACAAAATGAGGCGCTCTTCAGGCACAAAATAAATATAGATTTTATTATTATTATTATTATTTGTCCCTTGGGTTCTTAATGGCTTCAGTAGCACGTCTCCATTTCACTCTGTTCTCTGCAATCTTTTGAACCTGGCTCCACGACAGCCCAGAAGCTCTCATTTCCTCCTCGCACGTTCTCCTCCATGTCACCCTCGCCTCGGACGCCGAACTCATCGTTTTCCATCTAGGTTCCACTCGAGTACCTGGCCTGGCGTGTGATGTCCTCAGTCGGCCTTCTCAGTGTATGCCCAATCCATTTCCACTTCCTTCCAGTGCATATTTGTTGGGCGATGAGTGCTTGTTTGGTTCGTTGCAGTTAGCCAGAGTTCCTTGTTGCTTATTCTTTCTGGCCATCTGATCTTCAGTAAGGAGCCAGCGTAGGCAGTTGTTGATGAATGTCTGTAGTTTGTTGGAAATGCCTTTCTTGACGCGCCAAGTTTCTGAACCATACAGGAGCACTGACTTGACGTTGGTATTGAAAATCCGAATCTTTTTCCACATGCTGAGTGCAGAAGATCGCCGCACTAGTTTCAGGCTAATGAACGCCTGTCTTGCTTTTCCGATCCTGGCTTTGATGTCCTCGTCTGTGTCGCCTGTAGTTGAAATAGTGCTGCCTAGATAGGTGAAAGAGGCTACTTCCTTTAAGTTTCTCCCGTTGATGGTGATTGGAGCATGTTGTTGTTGTTGTTGGTTGGGTATCTTCACCACCCCCGTCTTCTCTACGTTCACTTGAAGTCCCATCTTTCTTGGCTTTCTCTTCTGTCAATTTGTTAGTTTTCGCCTATAGTTCTTCAAGTTTGTGTGACATTAGACATAAGTCATCGTTGGCGAAATCCAAATCTTCTAGGTTCTTTTCCGCAGTCCAGCCAGCGTATCCCCCTCTTCTCACAGCTCCCCACTGTTTGCTGCATGATCCAGTCGACCACAATCAGGAATATCATGGGGATAGTAGGCAACCTTGTTTCACTCCTGTCTTCACTTCACTGCAAAAGCATCACTGAGCTTCCCATTGTGAATTACTTGGCATGTGGCATCTTCATATAGTTGTTGAATGAGGTTGATAAATGTTTGTGGTATTCCGTAGTGTTGAAGCAGCTGCCAAATTATTTGTTGGTCGACGCTGTCGAAGGCCTTTTCAAAGTCGATAAAGTTGAGGTAGAGGGTTGACTGCCATTCTATACTCTGTTCTCTGATGATGTGCAGCATACAGTTGCAATTTGGTCCGCACATGATTTGTAGTTTCCGAATCCAGCCAGCCTGTTCTGGTCGTAGTTGTGAATCGAGCGCATCCTTTAGTCTCTCCAGGATGATGCTGCTTAATATTTTGCTTGGGGTGGACAGAAGCGTGATTCCACGCCAGTTCAAATATAGACTTGGTATGGAATAAAAACAATAACAATTTTTCGCCGGAACTTGACAAACACGCATAATGAGGAAGTAAGATAAAATAGGCAAAATTAGATTGAGGATGTCAGCAATCCTAATGAGATTGATAACTTTCGTCCACTTATAAATCAATCATTGATTCTGGAATTAGGGCAGTGGGTGTAAGAATAGCAATAATAACAATAATAATAATAATAATCGAACCAGATTTTCCGCACATTAGCAGAGAGATTAGCATTACAATGGATATCGTTTTGTCTTTGATTCGTAACATTCATCATTACCAAAGTAATACTTCCTTTGTTTATTCATGACAAAGAAACTCTAGTGTGGATTTTAAACATGTACAAGTTCAGATTAACAGAAACACTTCCCTTCGTTTCAGATTTGTGCTATAAAACTCATGACGAATTGGCTAACAGGTTTAAAGAATGAGGTGAAACCCGTTGTTCAGGTCATCATTCGCCTTCTTTACCGCATAATTATTCATGATGGAGATTTAACAAAGCAAGGCAAACTTTCGTGAGTTTGTTTCTTTCTTTTACTAACTGACAAAAAACTCATAAGTTTGCTGATCGTATTTGAATTTCATATTAGATTTGTTTATTCGATGTATTACACACAGTGATAGAGTATTATTTACTTAATGACGTTTCAAGCATAAATTATTGCTCATAATCATATCAATATAATCACATCACTTTTGTCATCCGATTTTCATAGTACTATTGTAGTGGGCGTTGCTGACAAGAATGGATATAGGTAGTATGTGTTGAGAGGGTGGCAGAAATCATAGGGAGTTACCAGCAATGCGTAAGGGTTCTGCCAAGAGAAACGTCAGAGACAACGCAGGCGTATTCGGAGCAAATCAAGGGAGAAACAGGAAAGAAAATGAAGCACATTTTGCAAATGATTGTCTTAGTGCAAGGTGTATCATACTTAACTACTACTTTCCCACTTGTTGACAGTAAACATTCCTCCCTTCGTATCTGTTTTCTTGCTTTTTTCACTATCACCTCATATTCTTTGTTTTTAGTGGCAGTAAAATTCCCCTTATTTCGGTTATAGATGTTGTATCATTCCCATTACATATGTTGGGTGTTGATTCGATGCGCGAAGTCTTTAAACTAAACTACCAATGAATATGGCACTGGTGGTAGTCAGAAATCAACAAAATATGCACCGTAGAACTTACAAAACTAAGTAATCAGTTGATGAAGTCATATTAGTCGTACAGTTGTGCCTGACCTCCACAGTCTTCAAGTTTCAGGACAAAATATATAGACAAAAAAAAGAAGTGGCAATGAGATCAGCAATATCGCCAATCGTAGCGTATATATTTATGGATAGTTGGGAAAATATATCTCCAAGATATGATGTCGATATGTAGATGATACATTCGCTGTGCTGAAATCGGAATATATCGACAGTTTCCGCACACAAACTCAGTAGTAGCCGCAATCCAATTCACTTACGAGATAGAAAACGAACAAGAGGAATTAGCTATGTTGGATTGTGGAGTGAAATGAAAGACATTGTGATTTATATGTATACTTCCATCTAAAGGAAACCGACACATCCTAACGGGTATCTAGACTTCATGTCAAATGTCTGAATAATATAGCTAGAAAACTCACTAATGCAAGGGCCTAAAGAGAGAATTGAAGTGCATAAAATAAGTGCTACTTATTAATAATTATCCTCTATAGTTTATTTAGAAAATCTTAAGAACACGTAATAACAGTGATATGAATACATATGAATGATATGAATAATAGCGACAACACAAGTAGATAGAAGTTTAAACCCTTCATTGTATTACTCTACAAGGAAGAAACATCAGAAACTCTACGTAGGATTCTCAACAAGGCTGGAATTAGATTGAAATTTAGACCTACAAACTCGCTCAGAGATAAGCTTTATCGGTGTAAGCATTCGACATATCCAATTACGCAAAATAATCTAATCTACCAAATTCCATGCAATGTCTGTGAGGTCAAATATATAGGTGAAACTAGCGGATTGGGGTCAGTTAGATTGTAAGAATATAGGAATTTAGCCAAGCATAGAATGACAGATCTCAATAGGATCTAGAAATAATCTAGAAAAAAACCCGGCTATTGCAATACTTTGATTAACACAAGCACAATAGGGTGGGATAAAACCACTGTACTCAAGTCCAATATAATTAGATGGAGAGAGAGAAAGAGAGAGAGAGATTGGTTACTGAATCTTTGTTCATCGAATCAAACCCCAACACATGTAATAGGAATGATGCAACATCTGGAAAATTTTACTATCACTAAAAACAAAGAATATGAGATGACAGGACTATAAAAGTCAAATGTCAAAAGCTGTGTGATTAGATTGATATGAGTATGAGTGACAACTTATGCTAGCTACATCATCAAGTAAGTAATACTGTATAACTGTGTGTAATGCATCAAATAAACAAATCTAATGTGGAATTATATTCTCCTACAGTGCCTAGGTTTTACACTTATATCAACTTGTTAGAAGATGGATTTTTGAAGTTTAAATTTAGATATAATTCACGTGATTTATACATTCATCACTTTTATTTTATCTTGTACTATGCACTTGTTTTCTGTGTTGTTCTGTGAAGTTAAGTAGTCAACTAGAAAGATGGAGAGGGAAAGTATGAAGCGAAGTTAATATATTCGATGAAAATGTAAATACGAGGTCTTACATTGTAATTAACGTTTTTGCATAGTCAATTACACTTTGTTGTTAAGTCATTCAGTTCCTGGTGACTGCCTTGGCTATTCTTCTTTGAGAATAACCCAACCCAGTATTTTAGTACCTTAACGATTCATGCATTTTTCAGATAAAAATCTGTATTTATTTTGAATACAAGTAGTAAGGTGTAATTGTAGTTCATTAGTCTAGATACTGCATGCAGGTATCAACTGATAGTTTCAATTTTTACTCTTCTAAACTTTATTTAGGCACTTAGATTACTTCTCTGACATAATCTTAGACGAAGTTGGCGGCTTGGATAGTAGGAAATATTTGGTTACCATGATTGCATTATTCATTTTCTTGGGTGTTATGTAATACACACACTTGTACACAGAAAGAAGCGTAATTTCTCAGGTCTAAGTGTTTTATAAAAGCTAGATGTGTTCTCGTTCAATATTATAGAAATGCCTAATTTCAGCTTTTGTTTATTGATGGATAAGCTTCGATGAGCACTGATGTTTTAATATTAAATACCGTTAAGGAATCACTTGGATATGAAAATGTGAATGTCTGTAAAACTAAGCGTAGAATGCATGGGTAATAAGTGGGAAATAAAGCTTATCACCAGGGTTACTAAAAAACGGGTGAAACATTTGATATTCAATACCCCTATATCTGAAGTTCTTAAACTCAGATGGGAATTTAGTGGTGTAGAATCGATGGATTTCTTTTCATTATTTAAGTTATGATGTGTAAGTGATACTCCACTATGACCACCTTAGTATTAGCTTCGTTAAAAATGGTTAGTTTATCTTTCGTATGAAGTCTTATCGTTGTAGTTAATCTACTATTCTAGTTAGTATTAGCTCTCATATAATGCGTTACGTTTTACATTACAAAAACTGAAGTACCTAATCCAGTTGTTCCGATTCAAGAGTGAATCTTTTTTCTCCTCATTGGTTTTCTTTTATTTTGTTGATATTTCGTATCTACTAATGCCGTATACTTCTCATAAAAATGATTTATGATTCAACTATTTGTAAAATTCTGTCTAACTCTTCATTTTAGTGGATTATCCTTTTTTACTTTCGAAACTTTAAGGTATGGTGAAATGTCTCGCATGCGCTTAGTAGCTGCCACTTCTTGGTTGAAGCTTGCACGTTCTCAGGCTTATTTGGAGTGTATAGAGATTGAATGGTATTTGTCGATGAGCAATGTGCTATGTGTAAGTTTTTCTATTTTGTAATAAACATTATTGGTAATTATGTGTGTTTTCCTCTATCTCTCTTATTACAATTTTATATCAGAGTTAAAGTATTACTTTCCATCTTTTCGTTCAATTTAGGATCCATGTCCACAAGTGCGTTCTCATTTTTTAACTAAGCTCAACCAGGGATTATACAAACTGCGCCTTCCTCTTGAGTATATGGCTATTTTTGCACTCACTGCTAGTGTACAAGACCTTGCATTCAAACAACGTGCAAAGAAACTACTTATTGCTAATATTCAGCGACGGCGTGATTTTTTGAACAAGCACCCTACATATTTCCGTACTGCTAGTAAGCATTTTGTTTTAATAGTTCACGCCAAATTATTTTAAAAAAGTACTCTCATTTCAGTTGTTAAGCTTAAGTAATTTTATTGTGGCATTCAAACTTTCGACAGTTTCTTCCAGCGATATAAGCACATTTTTGAAATTGGTATAGCCAACTTAAAATAAGAACTTGATTGCAAATAAATTAGTCAGTGCCATTATATAGGACCTGACTGTGAGATGGTCCGAGTTCCCATACCTCATATTGGCAGTCAAATGATTAAGACAAACTTGGAATTTTCCTAACTGGTATCTGTCTATCATATTCAAAAATGTTAGAATTGATACACACTCCGTTTTTAAAAGTGCACATAGTAATTTCTCAAGGTACCGTTAAATTCGATTCACTTCAGCTGATGAAGAGAAATATCTAACCCCGATCCACTAGTCACTGTATTGTTCCACCACACTTACACAACTAGAAAGGGCATTCATTGCCTAATCATACTTGCCAGTGTAAGTGAAGTAGGATTAGGTTTACAGAAATCCAAGGATAACCATGCCAAAAAATTGTAATAGTCCATGACGTTTTAGCGTGATGGTTCGAATTCTCGAATCTTGAAAAATTAGTGGTTAGGCATGTCGACGTGATATAGTTGAAAATCACTCACAGTGGTGCAGATGTCTTCAATCTTTATCGTATTCAAAGATTTTAACGTTCTATTAGCCTTCACTTAAATATCGCCTCATATCATTTTCAAATCATTCTTATTCTGTGCTATTGTAAACTGTGTCAAATTAAACTGATGCACTCTTATGCAACGTTCAACGTTTTACTTATCTGCCTAACTACTTTCTGTGGTAAACGTGCTTTACAGACCTTTTTGGAAAATGTGCTACTCTGTGCCCCCACGTCTTGATAAGCATCGTAGTAACGAATCTGTGTTTTCAGATGGTAAATATTTTTGAGTGTTCATTTGGATCTTTCACTTATATGGAGAGTTTATGTTGACCTATGACTTTTGAACTGCGAACCAATCCACACTATTAAAATTCTATCCACTGTCTAATCAATTTTTGGCACATGTCAAGTGTTATGTCAACATTGGATATCTAAAATGATGATGCAAAGGTTAAGTTTTACTGTAGGATGTCAATCTTTCTGTATGTGAGACGCTCAGAAATACAGCAGTTGTTACACCTAAACTCTATACTTTCCAAAAATCACGTAAAACTGGATCACCTTTCAGACCAGTGCTTGACATATCCCATTCACCACCTCACGTGACAGCAAAATGGTTAGTAAATCTTCTTAAACGATTCCGCAGTAAAGTTATACTGCACAGTTTAAAGGATGCCTAATAGTATATCGGAAAAAGTGAGAATGTGAATATACACAATAAACTTATGATACCATGAGACATCTCATCTCTGTTTACCAATATTCCTTCAATGGAAGCAATAGATTTTATATGCAAAAATTGACTGACTGGTAAAAATCAACGTAGAACCTTTCACACAGGTCCATCAGCTCAACTTGCCATACTTTAGAGTAGTATACAAGTAACAGGTGGATAAAATAAGAGTAGTATCAAAGTGGACAAAGTTATGTGAGAGAAAAAACAATATAAAAATAACGGTTACTACAAATATTCAAGCTTTAGAAAGTGTCAAGGAGTGAATACATCTGCACCATTGTGACCGGTTTTCAGTGATAGCACCAAGAGTCGTCAACCACTGATTCCTTTCGTCTCGGAGACCGCAACCAGGCAGTCTACATCTCTACACACGAATCAGAGCCACAGTCACGGACTTCGTCAACTGATGTGAACTCTCTTTCAACCTAGTCCAGATTACCCTTGCATAGCATATCGAGGTAGGCGGTGGTTCGGCATGCGCAGTTCATGTCCAAGCTATTTCAGTACACTAAGGTTCACAACCTCATCGACTGACTTGTCTGTCTTGCCAAATACCCTCCGCCTGATTTCAATACTGCTCACACGCTGATTCCACCAAACGCGAACAATGCTACGAAGGCATCTGTGATCAAAATCCAGTAATCACTTAATGTATTCTTTTGATGGTAGTCTCACAGCCGTACAACAGAGCAGAACGGACTGCAGCGCAGTACACTCGAAGTGACTATGTGTTACATAGATACTAGAATGTCTGTATCAACCATGAAATAACTTCTTTTGAGATACACCATGACTGTATATTTTCCTTTCAACAGCCAGTTCAATGGCGTGGCGTTGAGATCACCAGTGGGCTGTGTTAGCAGTTTTTTCCTAGCCAAACTGGAGAATGACTATCTGAAAGAAATAACTAGCCAAAATGAATTGTACGGTCGTTTCATGAATTACATCTTTATAACTTCTAATCACTGAGCTGATTAGCATACGTTTCTTGGTTTATTTAATAGTGTTCATCCAACAATCTCGTTCAGCATAGAAGAGCGTGATTACATCTTATTTCTAAGCATCCTGTTGGTAAGGTCGAACTAAAACAACAGAACGTTGTGTATGCAGGAAACCAACATTGACTGGTCAGTATATCCACTTATTTAGTTTTTTACGTCACATACAAGCAAAATCTAGTGAAATGTTTGGTTCCTCCTGCAAAAATCGTTTGCTCTGATAATAAAGAAAGAACTCGATAGTATTCGCAACCTGAATAAAGGGAATACGTGCCCAAGTTTGTGATTAAGTATATCAATGACATGACGACCAAAGTTGATGAAAGTTTTCGAGGAATCTGCTTTCTTTAGCGTAAGAGTGATGTTATCGGTGTGGTTGAACGAATGTTTGACAAAAGTCTCTCAAAGTATATTCAACGATATAAAACTTTCCTATCCTCTGAAATCGACCAGTGGGTTCGAAAAGTAAAAATTGACTGCATCATTTTCATTTAATAATCCTACTGCTTCCTCGGTACTATCTATATAAATCCAAAAGTTAGATAAGTGTATCACCGAATTTCTGAGCAGCACATATAGTCAAGTGAAAAATGAATAAAAATAAGGTGTTCTTTACTTCTTTTATTGGTAAATACTAGTCGTCAAGTAGATGTAAGAAAGGCTTTTACACTTAAGTATCACATATCGGCTATTGTTCCTCATGGTTTATGCATCTTCTACTGTACGCCACTGAAGTTATCGTCACACATCTGTATAAACCAGATTTTCACATCAAAAGGAAGTTTGTAGAATATCCCTTCTTTACCTCGTCAAAGTAAACAGTCATCTAACATTTACAGTTCATCCTCTCTGTCTGTCCACCTCAGGAATTTTGTTTCCTTTTTTTACTACTTAATTTGCGTATGTAATCAGTTTCAGCATTTATGAACTCGACAAAACCGCCTTTCGTGTGAACTATAATGCAATCAGTCAGTTACTAGCGCGCTATTATTCTCTTTTAAAACGTTACACTAACCTTGTATATTTAACCCATTTGTGTCTCTAACTGATAACTATATAAGTAATCAAACCGCTGCCGCTAACTTTTCATTTTAACTTGGATTGTTCAAACCTAAATATTAGCGTAACGGCCATCGATGAAGGATTAATTGCAAAGAAGTATACCTCTGCTTGGTCCACCTTTTTGTAAATGTTAAGCAGGGAATTTTAGAGAAAGGCTGAACGTTAAGTAATCGTCATATTTATTGGCTAACTTTGATGTGAAAGTAAGTAGGCTGAGCCAAGTAAGCATAAATCTTAGGGGTATTATAAATATTTAAATCATAGGTGTTGCGACTGTTTGGAAGGATTTAAGCACCAGATCTGGTTGAATCACCATAAAACATAACCAGAACGTATTTAGGAAGTTAAAATTTTTCTGGATATTGAGACTGTGATCTCGATTATCGGAAATGGAACAACAACTGTCTCAATAGAGTCACATTCTTTTTAAATTACTTACGGACAAAAGGAAAGAATTTGACAACTACGTTGCTACTATCCCCAATAAGCGTACCGATGATGTTAACATAAAACTGGATCAGAGTTTGAAGTCAATAACTCGTGAAACTATTTCCACTCTGTGCCGAGAAAAGTACTTATTCGAATGTATCGCTGTCCCCCATTCAGATGCAGGTCTTATCCCTCTGCCCAAAATTCTTTGAAACAACATCCAAAGTTGATGAGCTCAAAACAAAAGTACATTTCGAAAATTTGATTCATCAGATGAAAGATGTAGTTCCGATCTCATCTAATGATCTTGACCATTTCAAATCAACTGTTCTAAAGTGCTATGTGGATTACATAATTAGAAAATCCAATACTCGACACATCCTATCAAAAGAACATCAGAACCAACTAAGTGAAATGAAAGCTTAGTCATGATACGCCCTAACAAAGGTGCTGGCGTAGTGCTTCTGAAGAAACTGGATTGTATATATAAGCTTTCACCCCTCCAGTAAACTGCAAAAAAATTTTCAAAACACAATTCTGAAAGATCCTACCGAAGAAACAGAGCGTCAGTTGTCCATGACATTGAAGATGGAAAATAAAGCACTGGTTAGCACTGAACTCTAGGAACAACACCGCCCATCAGGTTCCTTGATCCATTGACTATATGTGCATAAAAGTGTTCCCCTTCGTCTAATACTAGACATGACTAATTCTCCGCGCCATTCAGTAACAGAGTGGTTCATCAAGCTCTACTGGATATCGTCCCCCTATATACAACTGTCCCACCACCGGGAAACTTGTTTTCTGTGTAATTTCATTGAGTCCTATAACTTCACAATTGGTATCCCAAATCGCTACTTAAATGAACTTCTCAGATGAACTTTCAACGTGGCCTTTAGATTTGACGACAAAATCTACTGGCAGATAGATGGCGTTGTAATGAGATTGCCTCTAGAACTCCTCTTAGTTAACTGCTTTATGGCCAGCCTAGAAAACACAGCCTTACCAACAATAATCAGTGAGCTTCATACCTACAAAAGATACATCGATGATACCTCTATTATTTGTGACGAGAATATAAATCTCGAAAACCTGCTTCAAACTTTCAGTAGTCCTCATCCGTTTGTCAAATCTACTCTAGAAATATAGTCAAACTTGACTTTCCACTTCCTTGATCTCCAACTTCAAAGAAAATATGACAATTCAGTCGAGATATATTTTTGGTAAACCAGCTTAAAAGTGGTAGTTTATCAATTTTCAATGCTGTGTCTTAAGCAGAAATAGGAATCTTACCCATTCACTCTCCTCAAAAATATTGAGAATTTGCACAGAGGATACCATCAAAGTTTTGTATCAAGTGTGGCCAAGCCATTCGAAAGAAGTGAAGTTAAGACATCTAGGGACACCTGAAGCACTAGCGGTTTAAAAGTTCAAAAACTGTATGTGCAACCTCCTTCTTTGCCATGATCATCGTGGCGGATCCATCACCCTAGCTAATTCGCTTATGATGTAACTATTCTCATTTGCAATCATTTTGTTCGTTTCTCCCCTTTAAACGCTCACAGACATTACGTAACTTTCATTCATCACTTAATTTATGTTGACCTTTGGCCGGGGATTACTATGGAATGTTCTATCCTTTCTACCACATATTCACGAATGTACAGCTAAGAAAAGGATTTCGACGAAAACAAAATTTCTTGTTCTCTGAAAATGTCTTCTATCTTTTCCTATGATCAAATGGGTTTGTTTTGATATTTTCGGAATTTTATAACCGTTAAGGTATCTTTGAAACTATGTACCAACGAAAAGATGAGTGACTGATAGCTACTACTACATTAACGTAGTGATCAAGCTTGTATATCGCGATGACCCAACGAGCTATGCTGGTGGAACGCTTGTTCCATCGAGGTCCTACCATACCAGAAAGGTCTGTTGGATAGTGGTTAGACAAAAAACAGTTACTCTTACCTATAGTATGTTGTTAAATAGAGAAATGATGCATTATGATGGCTTAGATCAGTCATTAGTGGTTAGTGGTGATCCAAAACCACAGTACGTATATGTCCGACTACATCTTCCATAATAAAGGCCAATTGTCGTTGCATCAAAAAGGCTGTGTGTAACCGGGCTCAAGCGGATGCCCCTTACGCTCTGTGGTCACGCACTTAGCCTTCTTTTTCAGGTACTTCAAGAAGATCTAGCCTTCTACGGTGTGGGGAACTGGGAAGTGTCAATTGCTCTAAAAACTGTCAGTGCTCAAATTCCCTCAGACCGCTATCCACCTTCCTCATCCTTACCTTTTGATCTTCCTTCACTTCCCTCAGTTAACAGTCCATCCATCGTCTTTAATTTCTTCTAGCTCTGCAGCTTTCGACAACGATCTGAGTCCACAGAACAGCATCCTTGGTCTCCTTAAACTGCACTTAAAATTAGACATTGGAGACTCCAATGTCCGTACTCTCCGTCAAATTGGCTAACAACTTAATTGTCCAAAACTGTAGCAACTCAGATGATCAATGTGTTTTGTGAGACATGCAAACAGGATCCAAGTGTAGTTATTCAGTTAACCCCTCCCGATCAATATGGTGAATCCGCCAAATTTCGCCCTTCGAGTTGCTGGAGATTTGATGATTAGTTTCCGCGGTCGTGCAAGTGTAGGGATAGCACTAAGCATTAGGGTAGAGACCTCATTAGTAGACTGCATCCCTGTTAACAGTCGACTATGCGCTGTACAGCTGAATACCATAATGAGAATAGAATAGTGGCCACATTGCTATCAGTCATCGTTAGGGGGGGGGGGGTCGGTGGAAAACTGCTTCTTTCTTGAAGTACGTGTTTCGATAGCAACCACTAGTTGGTCCGAGTGCGTATATGCCTGCATCTAAATGGACGTAGGAAAAATTTGGCAACAGAACCACTGCGAGTGCTGCTGGACAGCGAAAACACCAAAGCCGCTCTCAGTGAAAAATTGGCTACGCAGTTATCGGAGCAGAAGACTATCACTCATCCAGAAGAAACTTGGTGCCATCTTCAGTCTGCTGTAAAAGCAGGGCTGAAGACCGTAGCCGACTCCGAAAGAGTGGCTGGCTAAAAAGAGCCAGTGGATATCAGCAGCTTCTTCCGAACTAATGGATACACGTGAACGCATCCCTGCAGGCTCTGAGTACAATGAAGAGCGAACGCAACTTAAAAGCAGATTGAGAAAAAGTCTACGCAACGACCGCGAACAGTGGTGGGTGGTGAAGGCTAAACAGATGGAAAGGCGGCGGCTATCGGTAACAATAGACAATTATTTAGACTTATTAAGGAAACTAGGGGGAAAAGGTCAACTGCGGTTAGTGAAACCATGGCGGAGAAGGACGGACCTGCGGCTGACTTGCCGAGGAGACGACTGGGACGATGGGCAGAACGTTTCGAGGAGCAGCTTATTTGGCCTCCAGCCACCATTGCGTTGCCTGCTATCCAGTCACGCCCTGAGTGGAACATTGAGATAGGCCCCCCAACACCAGCAGAAGTCGAGAGAGCAGTAGGTAACTTGAAACGAAGAAGGGCGGCAGGACCAGACGCACTAACTCCAGAGGTATACAAGGATGGTGGTAAGGTGCTCTTAGTCACGTTAACGGAAGCGTTAAGAAAGACGAGAAGTCATCTTGTGATAACCACAGAGGAGTCAGCCTGACGAACATGGTATCTAAGATTCTAGGTCCCATAACCATTAGACGGCTGAGTGGAACTCAGGGACAGTAAACCCTCGGAAACCAGGCAAGCTTTTGACCTGGTTGTGGGACCGACCATATATTCACGCTCTGCTGGGTCCTGGAACACAAGCACGCTTACTGTATTTCTCGACCTGAAGGCGGGCGTTCGACTCTGTCGGTCGAGAAGTCTTATGAAAGTGTCTCTCACTGAGAGGCGTACCGAGTAAGTACATGACCCTGTTGATGGCATTGTACTCAAACACCTGTGGGCGCCTTAGAGCCTATGGTGAGATGTCCGGGAGCTGTGCTCATCGAGTGGTGTCCGTCAAGGGTGCTCACTGTCTCCATTCTTATTCAACTTTATCATAGACATTCCTTTACAGGTCTCCCTTTTGTCATTTGACTACACAGGGGTGGTCCTAATCACAGGAGTTTTTGATGGACCTAGAATATGTAAACGACATAGTCGTGTTAGGTGAATGACACTGACAAGATGCAGAGTCTTCTGAACACTTTGACTGATAGTTTGGGATTGTATGGGATGTGTTTCTCGCCACCCAATGCGAATTGTTGCACTGCGTGGATACAAAAGGCTTGATTGGTTTTTGCCAAATTACGGTGTATATGATGCCTCCACGATATCCGGTTGTCTGTTTAGAGTCGAGTGTACTGTGCTGCAGTCCGCTGCATTGTACTGTTATGGCCTTGAAACATAGCATTTGCAGGTAGAAGACATGAGAAGGCTTCAAGTGTTTGACCACCGTTGCTCTGTAGCATGGGTTGTGTTTCGTAGTGCCATCACGTGAGTAACGTAAAGTTTTACGGAGGTGAGAGGTAGGACAGTTGGTATAGTTATGAACCTTCATCAACTGAGATGCCTAGGACTTGTGTTACGTATGCCTAGCCGCTATCTACCTCTTCGCACAATTCTAGGCGTAATAGTTTGAAGCTTGAAAAAGGCTTGGAGTGGTGAGACTACAACATGGCGTCAATGCATAAAGTCCTTGACTGTTCGTTTGAGCCATATCGGGCGATGCAGACTAGCCGGTTGGAGTTCGTGGGACAAGAGAAACCAGGGGTTGAAGACTCTTGGTGATGTAGCTCAGAACCAATATCAGTGGCGCAGATGTATGCGCACACTATCCTCATCTTAACTGCTCTACCTAATATCATCATTCTTCCTTCCTCTCTTTTACTACTTTCTACTTCTTTTCGACCGATTTTTCTTTCTTGGCTCATCTTTCATTTTATTGCTTTGTTAATTGATATGCTGATAGAGATGTAGTAACTTAGACTGTTATGCACAAATGCCTAGTCCTGTGTTTATGTTGATGATGATTGCCTGTAGCAATTTTAACTAGCTGTTTGTTCATATGCAACATTGGACCCTAGTTGATGTACGATCAAAGTGATTCACATTTCGATCTATCACTATGGTAAGTCACCTTATTGCCTTTCGCTTATGTGCTTGATCTATCACCATCCAGTGACTTATATCTCTTATCATGATATCTTTCAATTTTTCTCAGTGTATCCGGATATTAATGATGAACAAAAATAATTGGACAGAATGCAAAAAATATGATACTCTGACTTATTGGTACCTGATAGTGAGTTGACATGAACATAAACAGTTCAATCATATCGTCACTAGTCATCGTCGAAGCAAATCATTCGAGAATTACCGATCTTTCTGAGTACTAGCTTAAATTGTGATAATATGCCACCGGGAAATTTTTGTGCTCAACATGAGAAGGAAAGATATCAAGTATGAAATGTAACTGAACATTTATCACGATATGATGTTGATGTTCATTCTGATGTGACCTAGTTTGGTACTCCTTTGTAGAAATAGCTGGTAGTCTGCGACTGAAGTACCGTGAGAAAATCACCGCGATCTCATCCAAACTAATTATCATACAAGGCAGAAATGATAGAAGTATCATCACTCGAAAACAGTTTGCTCCTTTTCAGGTTTATCAAAATAGTTATTTTGAAAACATGGTAGCTGGTGAAAATGTCAATAAAAATTAGTCTTCTTGAAACAAAGTTAGGTTGAACACTTTGAACAACGGTTTCAACATTTATGGAACACAGATATCGGGTATACAAATATTACTGAGATTTGAAATATTGTTTTAAACACTAAAGAGAATCGAACATCAGCACTTGGCAACATACCTTCAGTTTTCATCGGAGTATACATGAAAAGAGTATTGCGTATAATCTAGACAATTGTTTAATAAAACGATTTCATACTACTACTTTTTAGTGGTCTGATCGATATGCTTCTACTCATGAATTGTAAACACAGCTATGGTCTTATCTTTATATTTTTCTCTAGAAATCTTATTTGCACTGTTACCGGACTATATCCTTCCATATGTGATCTATTTACTTTCACATGATTCCAAATGGACTAAACTGAATGATTCAGAAATGCTTAATAAAATTAAAAGGTGAGTTTTTTCGTATAAGATTTTGCATGTTCTGTGTTCGATCACTAGTGTGTTTAATGTCTGATTTTATAAAATATTCTAGGACAATTATCCAATATCAGAGGGGAACTTATGGACGTAGTGATAGATCATTTTCTTATTTTTAGCGAATAATTCATTCTCATGCAGAAGCAAAAGCTGATATAATTTATCCATTGGTTTGGAGAATAAAATGAGCTCATTTTATTTCACGACCTTTCATCATCTGCAAACAGCGTACAATCGAAATGCAATATTAGTAGTAATAATAGCATAACAGACTTTAAATATGCAGAAATAAATGGAGATTTGGAATCCATAATTAACAATGAGGTAATGAGTCAAAGAAACACAATATTAATGATCACAAATCAATTGTAAACTGTTTGCGAACCGTGAAGTAAAGTGAGCCTACTTTATTCTGCAGATGTCTTTGTTCTTGCGTTGTTCAAACTTGTCAAGGGAACTGAGTGTATGACATCCATTGGTATTATTCAAAGTTTTAGTCTATCCAGAAGTAATAATGTTCACTATCACTTGGGTCGCTGTGAAATGAATGTTTAATCTACACAGCTTCCATTGACTTTCTACCAACCTCTGAATAATTTGCAGCAACTGTGGGAATGGTCAAACTACTAAGCTACTTAATGCATATTACTGGATTGATGAACCATATTTCGCTATTTGGACGCTTATTATACTACCAGATTGGCTGTGGCTTAGTAGATGGAGCGGAATTTGAACCAAAAACCACTCGATAGATATTTGAAAACTCCACTTTTCGCTATCCAATGCTTCAGTAATTCGAAATTTTTTATTTGTCGTTCATTTTTGTTTAGTTCCCTCTGGTTTGTAATGGAACCGATAATATCTCATGGTGACAACTTCAGTTTTTTGCGGAGGATTATTGAAAAAATTAAGTATGCTCGAGATGCTCTTCACCCTGATGATACTATTTCCAATGAGGTAAGCTGTGTTTTTTTTCGTTTACCTCCATTTCACTCAATAACCCTCACGTTTTCTTCATATTTCTTGTTCGCTTAACAGATTTATCTGTTTTTTCAATATATGTATTTGATAAAGCTTTCTGCTAGCAGCATAATGATATTTGTTTATTCCACGCTTTACTATGGGTTAAAAGCAATTGGAAAAGGGTGTTTAGAATCCAGCCTAAATTTCTGTTCAATTGCGGTATTTTTCCATCTATTCCTTTATAGGTTTCAGGTTGGTATTCATCATTTGGAGGAATATAAAGAACCTGTGGGTATTGGACAGCCGTGTCGTCCTATGTATGGGACTCCTCAACAGTGAGCACGAAACAGCTGTCCAGTACGCCCGGGTCACATAACCCTGCCAGGGATCGAACTCAAGACCACGTTCCGCGGCCAGCACGTCACCCTTGAGTCAAAGCATAGTTATAAAATCGAGTTGCATTATTTCTGGTGTTTTTGAAAACCTATGGTAGCACACTTTCATACATATGGAATAAACTGAAATTGGTTAATGATAAGCAACCTAAGATTTTGGAGTTTTTATCGCAGTATCACCTCAACTTGGGATGGTGAATACCGTGAAGATCTCAGCAATTGTTTCATTCACGAGTACTTTCACTGTTAGATATTTCAATCTTGTTGCAATAAATGAACTTATTGCTTTATGCTGGTCACTGATTGAAGTAACTCATGTGTAGGTTGAGATACCGCGGAGATTTGCACACAACTCCCATATTAAGCTCATCACGAGTGAAATAATAATTCCTATACAAGAGGGCATAACATTATTCAGAGTTCATCGTCCACGAAACCCCATATATGCTTTAGTTTCTATTAGTGTTGGCATAAAATGCAGAATAATTCATTTCATCCTATTGGATGTTTGTGGGGGTACATGATCAGAGACTGTTTCTAAAAAAATTATTTACATCTGGTAACTGTGGAATGAAGAAATCTTCAAACGAAGACAGATGGTTTAACCTAATATAGTCTCAAACTCTCGGTTGAAAAAGAAACCTTATTGCACTTGTAAAACAGCTATGTCTAAATTGGAAACAGTTTATTTATTTAACATTATATTGACCCATTAAGTTACTGAATAGGTAGAGATTTTCTCTAAAAATTTGGCTTTCGTAGCTGTGTTCATTCTTCTCTCTACTCTTCCCATCAAATTCTAGTATCGTTCTGTCATTTCTACATAATTTTTGTTTCCTTCTGGATTCTCTTTTTTTAAGAGGATTACCAGCTACATGTTATGATCTATTGCTGTAAATTCTCCTCTAGGACTAAAATTACTATTGTAATTTTCATATGGGATATTATATGATTGATTTCACTTAATGACATTTCTAAGTTTTATATGAGATCATTTACTAGTCTTTAAAGCTATTCATTGACTAGTTGATTATTACGATTTAATTTGCTTGATAACAACCCTCATCAGTTGGATATGCCTACATCCAAGTATGTGTTTCTAGTGAGACTCAAGACACATGTGAAAGTAGCTCATATATCAATGGAGACTATTCGATTCGGTTCATCAAGAGAAAACAAGTAAGGAGAAATGAAAACACCTATTTCGTCAGAGTATTTATGCTTATTATTCCTGTAAGCCCCTGCATTATTATTTATTGATACTAAGTGGTCATTGAATGCTAAATGGAAATGTGGGTCGCAACATGATTTAAACTAGTCTCTGCGTTGCTAGTCTGCTGCTCTCCTAACTGAGCTACGAGACTCAGTTGTTGATCAGACCTTAACTTCATTTCAAACATCACGGGTTCCTGGCTGGTTGGTCTGTAAATCAGAAAAACATAATCACACTGACTGTCCGGTAGTTCAAGTTCCATCCCAATCTTCACCTTCAGTCGTTAGTCAGTAACAATAACAACAGTCTGTCAAACCATGATTATCTTAGACAGCCTATTATTTGTTACTAAGTTCTATGTTGATATTGATAGTGTTATATATTCCGAACGGATATAATACGCACACTTAACCGACAGCTAACTTCGTACGCAAGAGCCACCGACTGCGACCTGGGACGAGTAGAGAAGACCGTAGCCGGATAGAAGAGTTTATCCACCCCGAGAATAATAATCAATTAATTCGAAAGCATGCGAGTATGTATACACTTGAAATATGACCTTGTCCGCAAACTGAGACATTTACGTGGTAAGAGTAAGGATGAATCAATCAGCGAATTACATTGCAAATGGGGGCAGAAAATGAACTACTAGTCGTGCTGTAAAAATTGTGAGAATAACAAGCTAAAAATGTTCATACCAATAACAATGTTTTATGCGAGACTGTGGCCTTCCAACAACTTGTGTTTTCTATAGCTGATGTAAGTTTGACGACAGTAAACGTCACCCTAGAGTAACAACTGAAATGACCAATCAGGCTTCGGTATTTCTCCTGGGAAAGTACTTTTCCATAAAATGAAAGGAGGTAATTGGTTGTCTGATCAGTCGCCAGGGTGGCATGTGAAGTCACCCTAGTGTTCGCATTGAGTAGCTTAGGGGAGGAGACATTTTGGAAACAACAGGATGCTGGACTTTACATTGTTTGGAAAACTAATAAATAAAATGTGTTTAGTTGCGTCTTCTAGTTTCGAATTATTTTTCTGCGTTATTTGTCTCGAAATAGCTTGAAAATGATAAAATCATTTCTTGGTCCTCCGTACTATGTAGCTTATTATTTTGCTCATACCAAATTATTTTGTTTTTTATACAACAGAAACTATATACTGTGTGTGATATTTCTCTGGGATTGTTGCTGTCCCGTTGTGTCAATCCAACAGTTAAAGAATATCCAGTGGATGTTAAACTACCTAAGACTCTTTTTATACCTACACCAGCCGATTTTCGTAATCCCGATTTCAAGCAATTGATGAGTATGACTATGGAGAGTAAAACAGATACAAGTGTAGATATTGTACATTCATCTATGGAGACACCGGAGACATCTGTCAGAAGCAAAATACAGCCCGTCCTACAGTTTACACCGAAAAAGCGTGTAAAGAAGGTTTAATTCCCACTGAACTACTGAAAACAAAACGCGCTGGTATTTCGAAGACAAAGTATGATTCCAAATGCTGTATAAATATTATGGTTATTAGTTCTTTAAGAAAGGGTCTTATGGTACGACTATGTTGAAGTATTAATTCTCAGTAATGTATCGTATAGACCGTGTAAATTCTATTTATGTGCAGGGTATCCGTTTAGTAACTTCATTTCCCAGTCAGTCGATATTTATTACTACAAGATGTAAGACTTTTTTTCAGAAAGAAAGCTTATACCTTTACCTTCAAATATCTGATTGAGTAAATTTCCTCATTCATTAGCAAGACGACTACCTGTTTGCGAAGAGACTACGGTACTCTGCAGCAATCAGTATCTGCAGAGAATGTGGCATTACTGCGTAATGTTCCGTGTTGGTACATGTTACATCAGCACATAAGGGCAGAATGCTCCAAGATAACATACAGAGGAACAAGAAAGGTATCGAAACTGGCATAAAGTGGTACAGGAAAAAAGTGATAAAACAGTGACAAAATTTGGTATGAAGATGGTGTGTGGATGCAACTGTGCCACGCTTCAATTTTGAATCGTATTGCTGAGAATCCCCAACCATCAACATCGATTGTCACTTGGATCCCAATCGAGAAATCATTCTCGTGCACGGCTCAGATCAACGATCAAAAATTTCATGGACGGATGTTACCTTTTAGTCTGGCCGCCTTTAACTTTGTTCCAACCGTAACTTACTTCAGTTTACTCTACGCGATGAGGCAGATGGTGACTAGGGATGTGTCACAAATGTCTCAGTTGTCTGAGTCAATGAGAGCTCAAAATCTCATTAACTGACTTTCCTCTCCCAAATGAAACCTTACTCTTGACATCCATATTAGTGATTGTATGACACCACGAAACGCGGCCTGTGCTGCGAAGACGACAATGGTTCAACAACAGAAGCCTCCTAATGTCGTCCACGTTTAATGTCCATGCTTCAAGACCACATAGAGTGAAAGCTGTGACGCTGTAAACTTAGCACCCAATAAACAATTGACGCTAAAGGTAGTGTAAATTGGCGAAAGTCAGTTGAACCTTTTGTATTCGTGCAGAGATTTCGTTGGTTACTGACCCACCAGGACTGATCTGACTTTTCAAGTGGTCAGCACGCTCAACCACTTCACTCCTCATTGTAAAACGCAGAACAGTCTTTTAGCGATAACTTGTATTCAGATGGTGAGAAACAACGTGATAGTACAAGCAACAGCATGCAAACTATACCGGCCGCATAAAAAAGTGATTATCGTGACTCGGTGGCCTTTTGAATAATACTGGCATTTGAAGCGATCGGCTATAGGTAAGATTCTTAGTGGGAACAACATCGCTCACTAGGGGGCAGGTACATCCAGCTGACTAGTTCCAGGTAGGAGGAAATGCGCGTCTTGGATCCCAGTGATAGCCACTATCCATCGTTAATATAAAGTTGAAACGTAGAGAATGTCAAGGCATCTTCGCAGGAGCTCATATGCTAATAGAGACCGACCAATGCAGTCTGATCAGCTGTGGGATAATGCACGTAACATTTTTATAGTCTTCCCAATTTGTGAAAGGGTTGGGGGTCGCCTCCGTTTTCCAATCAAGATCCAAGTAGATAACAAGCAGCGAGATAGGTGGAGGTTGGTTGAACTGTTCTCCCCTGCAGGTGAATCGCAAACACTTTTCTTCGCTATAGTATCGCTGGCTTTGTTGCACCAGTTTTCTAAATAACCGTCTGTTATTACCTACTGTTGCTCTCTTTCCTATCTTTTCAACATTTGTTACCCACCACTTCTCATGGTCATTGTGTAGACTCTTTGTTAGCCTAGATTAGAGTCGCATTCGCGCATTGTCGTACTGCGAGCTAGCATGAATGGGCTAACGTGCACGCATTAATTCAGCTGTTGAGATCCACTAACATTTTCTTACATCATTTTGAATGTAAGTTAGTCGTTAACTTTGTTTTTACAGTAAATGAGATGGCACCAGGCTTCCAGATGAATGGGTGGCCTATCCCAATAGCTGTCTACCCTGTTCCTTTCTGAGAGCAACGTTATTCTTATCGTCTTGCTGCGCTCGAAATTGTCTTACTGCTGTGGCCTTTCTACCTTGATTAAGGAGTAGAAATGCAAGTGTTCAAACCAACGCGTGATCAGTCCCAATACGTGCTCCAGAATGAGCAGTGATTTTGCACTGATAGCACCTGTTTCCATGGTTGGATTGAAGTAGGTGAACGCCTTTTCTGAAGTTCGCACTGGCACACTTGTAGCAAGCCATCGAAGTTATCTGTTCGTTCGGCTGGAATTCCGAAAATGCCACCTCAGTGCCTTCCTACCTGACTTACCCCTGCTGAAGTGTACATTGAAATTGCCGGCTAGGATAACCACATCTGAACGTGTAACTTTCAGTAGAATTCACCCTTAATTTCATCCAGATTGCAGTCAGTGGGTGCGTAAGCGGAGATCCTGAAGAGATAATGACGCGTCTCACTGCTCTTTTCAGTTTTCACTGCGCTATTCAGCTGGACAGCGCATATGCGACTACCATTCTGGATCCAGTCCAGCAGTGTACTTTCTGCTTTATGAACTAATGCTATACTTTCACGTGTTAGACTGCGAGAGTTAGTTATCAAACCTCCAGAAACTGGAAGAGTGATGTTTGCAGAATCATCATACTGACGGGGTAAAATCGACTGAATGACCACACTTGTGATATGCAAGTCGGATCACAGCGTCAAAGTAGCCGTTATCAGTCACAACAGCAGCCTACTTCGTCCCATACTCGGATAGGAGACATAATCGTTGACAGCATTAGAAAGCTGCCGCTTCTCGGTGATAGGCAGTTTTTTGTAACTCCTGTTTGTTCCACATAGCGATTAGTGTTGAGATCAGGTGTAAAATAAAATGAAAGATTCAATCAGATCGTGAATCTGCACCAGCTACGGCAGTTGGAACTAGTTACACGTATGAAGCGACTAATTTCTCTGATGTGCAATTATTATTGCAGTAATATTAAGTTAGAAGAAGCTTAAGGTTGGCCTCACCAACTTATTATCAATCTATGCATTCATTGATCATTTCACCGGCCTATATACGTTAGCTGAATGCTCTGAGACTGTTGATGAAATCACTAGAAGTTAACTGTGGATGCATTTGTTTCTTATCATTCATTATTATTTAAAATGCTTTGGTGTTAATTTTCCTTCTACATTCTTGCGAATTATGATAGCTCAAAGCATGCAAGTTATTTTGTATATACCACGATCCTCTCTTTCAGTGTATCTAAATATGTTGAGTACTTTACTAGAACTGTCACTGGAACCATGAATAGAATCCATTGTGTTTTAACATCCTAGTTAATATGGTGTTTTCACGAAGCCAAGCCTGCTGATTTATTCATTTGGTAGCAGTATTTCAGCTGAAAAGCTAGTGAGTCATAATGATCAAATAAGTGATAAATCTAATTTTAGTTGAATAATGGTGATAAAAATGGGTGACTATAGATTGTATAATTGCAAGCATTGCAAATGAAGTGTCGTATAGTTACTAAATATTAAATAGATTTAGGTGTCACAAAATTGAGCCGTTTTCTTTGCTGTTGTGTGAGTATATTAATTAATCCATGAGCAGTGACCAGTTTAACTTATTACTGAACTGTTGACTTATCAGTGTAGCAGTAATTTCGATAAAACATTGGTAAACATTTGTACCGTGACAAATTGGTAGGCTTCTGTATACGATTGCAACATAAGTTAGTGAACACCTGTCAACTGATGATTACTTGTTTTGAATTTTCCACTTATGTACTTAACTGCTAATTTTGTGTTTCTCATAAACTCTCGTGAAATTTAGGACACAGGCAAAAGCATGTAGTCAAAGTGAAGGGATAAAGAAAGCGAAATCTGAGAGCAAATCGACGAAACATGACAATGAACTTTCAGGACAAGAAAGCACCGATCATAGTGAAGTCACAATGTTGGAAAATAACAAAGAATTGGAAGAAGTAGTAGATGTTGTGCCAACCAGTATTTCATCAGGTATTGATATCTCATCTAACAACAGTCCTAAAGACCGTAATATAGATAGAAACGTATTTGAAGAGAATTTTTCTCCACCTTGTGTTCCTTCCAGACGGAAAAAGCGTCCAAATAAAACTACACCTGAAAATACTAAACGCTTACGCACCAACAAGTCACCAGTTTTCACCCCGCATGAAAATCAGAGCACACTTGATTGTGTTGTAATTAGTAAGGCATCTTCGGATAAAGGTCCACCACAAACTAATAACACTAACCTGCAGCCGTCAAATGTCTCACCACGTAAAATTGAAAAACAACTAACTAAGGAAGTTTCAAAACCTCGTCCTCCAAACTCAAGTAAATCTTCCATACAAGCAACAAAGAACCGCTCTAATAATATTAGATGTGTTAAGAAAGATACTCACGCTTTGCCAATACCACCTTCGGGCGATCGCAAGGTTTCGTTGAGGTCCATCAATTCTAAAACCGCAGAAGGCATGGAGAAACTTACTATCGAACGTACGCGAAACCCTCAGTCTGCAGCTAAAGCACCGGTCAGAAGTAGTGCGAGGAACTCAGTGCAACTAAAATCTGGTGTTAGGACAAAACGACCGCCTTCTCGAATAAGCGCAATACTGGCTAAACAAAAGCTGTTATCTCCTACTTGTTCATTGAGTTCAAGCTCGACACATATATGAAGGTAACTGCACTGAGGTTTTATTTGATCCATTTTTTCCGAATAAAGCTGTGCTATTTGTCTAGATTTATAGTGAACAAAAGCTAGACGCGTTTAGTGTTCGGCTAGGTTACCTGCTGTGAATAACTGGTACCACAGTGTGATATCTCTGCGTATAATGTTGCTTCAGCTTCCTTATTTCATCTCAAGTTCGGACCAGATAGGAAACAAACTTCTTTTTTTGCTAAGACATCTCTTTCACTATGCTGAAACCAAGAATAGTCTTTCTAGTCATTGTTTTCTATTGTCCAAGACAAATTTCGTTCTTCCTAGAGTTCAGACACAAACTAATAGGTGTATTGTTCATTTACCTGTTGCTTGATGAGAATGAATTAGGCGTCACTTATCTTTCTCTTTTGTACAATAAATCACTTTATCTACACTTGCCGTAAACATAGGTCATTCAACCTGTTTGAAAGGTGAAGTAAAAGTAGTACATTTATTAGTCTAAGTGACCTTACTATGCAAAGTGAAAGACTGCAATCTGCATAAAATATTACTGTTAATTTTAATTTAACCAGTTGGTTCAATGTCAATTCGTATTATCACTAAATTCACAAAAAGCTTCCAAATAAATCTAATTAACTTAGGAATTCACATTCATGATATCTTCCTGATCGTCAGCAAACCTCAAAGTAAAGTTAAATATTGTGACTGTGTATGTGTACATGCATGCCCTTGATGAATCCCAGTAATATATCTAATGCATTGTTATTTGTGATTAAAGTGTCACCAGCATACTTTGCTGAGGCAGTGGACTTATAACATGTGTGGTTTCGAAGGATAAAACTTAATCTTTTCATCAAGTGGCTAACGTAGAAATCAGAAAGGGTGGGACTGAAATGTAATTTTGTGTTTCGAAAACGTCCATCATACGGAAATACCACAAAATCTTATCTAGAGGCTATACTAATCTTAGTTATCTTCAATCCGAATCCATAAATATGATGTGCATGTCCTATGACTTAAACAACTGCAATCAATGTCCTTTTGTAGAGGCAAGGTAAGTTTTGTGAGAAAATTTATGCAGCTACAGTACAACTTTGCTTGCTTACGTCTTCACTTCCCATCCCTAACAGTTTAAACTTAATGTTTTTTCTCTTCATAGGTGCTTCAGAAAATCTTGATTGTACGAAAGAAGTTTATTCCCACTTTTATTGAAGCCAGTTTCCACAAACCACTTTTGTACTTACAGTGTGATCTCGAGTTTTAAATCTACTTTAACTATACATCCTTTTCGAAAAAGTCTTATCACCCAGATCATACTAGGAACCTTATTCATAATTCTCTTTCTGTAATTTATACCTATTTAATGATATACTTATTCAAACTTTTAACCATATTTACGATGTACATTTTAAAGTTCTTATCGGAAATCACAGTATCATTCTGTATTTTTGAGGTATTCATTTTATTTAAGAATAAGGAATCCTGTATATGAACAATTATTAAACATTTGCCAAAAAGATAAACATATTGTAATCATAATGAGACGTTATTATGATCTGTTAAGCAGCCTCATTTCACAGTCTGTTAGCGCCCATTGATGGTCGACTATCTCCAATGCTTCCCACTCTGCTTTGAAGGCTTTTTGCATATCCTGTGGACCTTGCGGTGTAGGTACCTGATGATCTGATAACATTATGGGCTGTTCGGCCGCATTATCCGAACCAAGTACTAAACCGTACACACTCCGAAGGCCGAATATGTTAAGGAAATACCATGACGCAGAGCTGACCCTGAAGAAAGGTTTATTTTGACTACCAGAACTTACCAGGATGCGTCCAGAGAAGTAAGCGATTCACAACCTCTTTGAAGCATAGGTTTAAATCGATAAGTTAGCGGAAATGGGACTTTTGTGGTCAAGAAACCTGAGAATGCCCAATTTATCCAGCTACCAATAACAATCATTGGAACCATATTTAGCGCGTTACTTCTGAGCATTTCAGTCGCCATCGAAGGGTCTGTGGAATGTTTAAACATGATACGTGAAATCTACCGGCCATTGGATTATTCATGGTGCTCTCTCTTTTCTGAGTTTTGAAGAATCCATGTTCTTTATCGTTGAAGAAATATTTTCGCATTTAAAAGCCTATGATATTTATGTGGCGTACTCCGTAGATTTACCTTTACTGGTAGATACCTTCCATTTTCCCGTAGAAGTCTGCTTCGAATCAAAGCGTGACTACAAGACCAAGATGATACAAAACAGCATTTACCTGTCACCGATACTTTCGAGTTCACCTTTCTTCTCACTTGCGAAAATGATTGTCATGTAATGACGCAAAACTCCAAACAAGAAAGTGATAATCACGAGAGGAAGGAATACCCAGGAACGAATAGATGGATCCAAAAACAGTTCGGCCATCTTTAAACAGTTTGTAATTCGTCTCTGTGAATATGTTTATTGAACAAAGCTGGTTAGTGAACAGTAGCGCTCAAAATGCGTGCCGTGTTTTAACGAAAATCTTAACCTCAAGTTTATCGCAGTTATAAAACATTTTTGTGAACTTAGTGTTGCAGAGGTCCAAACCATATTTAAAGATCATAAAAAAGTAAGTTTCTATCTTTTTCGTAGACTAGTATGGTTAAAGTAAAGCCTAGCCAAGATATTAGACTTGTGTGGTAAGTCTTTCTCCAGAAAAATCTTAAAAGCTGCTAGGTTTTGAGACTGATGGGAAAGTTGTTTTCATTTGAACGTTATTGTCTATCAAGATGAAATTCCAAAACATGTTAACAATGTATCCCATAGCATACGACAGTTATGTTGTCTAAAATAACGACAACGCTTTACAGTCACAGAAAATCAACTGCGAGTACAAACAGCACCCGAGATCCCCTGAAGTGTATTTGCGTCAGGCTTTTGGAAAAAAAGCTGTGACATTCGCTTCAACTGTAATTACGCCAAATTACTGTAACAGCTCTCCAATGCAGGGAAACTATGCGGACTTTTGTCTCTTCACGACTTCTGCAAAATATACCATTATTATTACATACGCAAGTTTTAATATAATCCCAGCGTGTTTCGAAAGTCAAAAAAAGGTTTTTCTGGCCGTTTTGCTGTGCATGCCACAGAGGAATCGGGACATTCGTGACAACTGTGGCCTGGATGTCTAGGTAGAATTATTGTGATTAGAACGAACAAACTTGGTACAACAGCACCATACAAAATAATAAGGCAATATTATGAAGACACAGGCAACGGAAAATAGAATGGAAACAGAGTTGGGTTAAAACAGTCTCAAAAGTAGATTCAAAGAAGCTATTGTTGCTTCCATTTTACTTTTCAGTAATCGAAAGAATATCCAGCCTAACCTATCTTCGATTTAGTCCTGAGCTATGCCAGTCATCTGACGTGACTGAGGTTTTGATCTCTTGTACCCTATCCGAGAAGTCGTGAGGCACCTACAGGAGCGAACTGAACGCAATTTTCATCCCTCGGTGTCATACTATACACTGACCACTTCTACTTTTCCCAACAATTACTACGGGCCAGAGAACAGTGAACGATGTGGGAGCAACGAGGACGACCTGCATGACATATAATGGAGGCGCTGAAGCCGGTATTTTAAAATAGCCACATTTAGTGAGTGACGACCAGCTTTATGCCCAAACGAACGCCACCTCACCTCAAAATTATTCACACGATGATTCAAACAGAGGTGAAAAATCCTGCAGAGACAGTGGTGATCAAAAACACCGTCATCGGGAATTCCCCGATAGACCCGATCTCAATGGAAACAGACCAGTCCGACGCGCTGTATGACCGATAGTTTACAGCAAGATTAAAATCATGACGGTGCCAAAGGTGACCTAGATTGTCACTTGGTCACTCGCTTTAGATGTACGGTTGAAAATCTCATCCGTCAGCACTCATACGACTATCCAGGTACATAAACTTTTCGACAACTTAAGCGATTCACTACCGAGAGTGAGTGCAGGCTCCTATCAATCTTATACAAGCATTCTGACGGCGCACTGTACTTACGGACACTGGTACCCAACTGACAATGCCATTTACGGAAGGTGAGTGGTCGCACACTAAGATGATACTGTCTACATACTCAGCATCAAAATCTTCCTGTACCAACACACCTTCAGAGTTATCTCTAGAATGCCGTGCAAGCAAAATCAGGGAGGTGGCGAAACCGGACAACTCTGTCTGGCCTCATTATTGAATTAGAACATTGAAAATAGGTGGGTGTATGCCTTCACTGTATTTGAGGTGTTGAAGCATGCAGCTTCAAAGATGTTAACGAACTTCTTAAAGAGGCTGTAACAAACCATTCCATAGTACAACCCTGGACAACAAAATAGGTATTCCTAATAATAAGAAACACAGCGATCATGTCACCATTATGCGTAACGGTGTTCAGATAGAAACGGAGATAAGATCTAACATTGTGGCATAACGGAACGAGTTACCATGCCTCATATCAACGGTGTTAAAACATCCGGCGGAGGGTGAACACAAAGTCAATGGGTCCACGAGATGAAAAGACTCCATATTGGATTTATTTCATTTATAGCACAGTGATCCAGTATTATTTACTTGATGACATTTCGAGCAAATAACACCAGATCACTGTGTGGTATAAATCAAATAAACAAATCTAATATGGAATTAATTTCTACCACAGTGCCAAAGTTTTACACCTATATTAATGAACAAAACTCATTTCGCTTCTCGCGAATCAGAATTTCATGCGTTTTGCACAGACTGCGAAGTATGATAGCAGGCAATACGTTAGGCGCCACTAGCGGCAAACTGGTACGTTACGTATACCTTTTTCAAAGATATGTACGAGAATGAGTAGATTTTAGAGTGATGGGACTATTTCAGTCTGCCAGACCTTCATAAACAATGTAGTCAGTTTTCTGACTGCGGTCTCACCTCCATCCTTAAAAAGAGGAATGCGTTGATCATCTACGGCGGTAACCACATAACGCGTTGGAACTTCGAGTTTTTTTATAGAACTACGCCTCGCGAGGTGAGCTACTATTAAATAACCGTAGAGCACAAGGCATTACGGTTGATGCTATTGGAACTGCAGGCCAGCTGAACTGCTTGTAAAAGTGCCTTGCGCAGTGGTCCAGAAGCTTATGGAAGTTGGTGATCGGCGTACCAGCTACTCCCGACCGATAGCTGCTACCTTGACGTGGTGGTCGGGCTTGCATATCACAATGACCTAATGAGCTATGCTGGTGGAACACTTGTTCCCTCGAGGTCCTACCACATCAGAAAGGTCTGTTGGATAGTGGTTAATCGAAGAGCAGTTGTGGTATAAATTACTACACTATGATGCTGGTCTGAGGACGAAGTCGTACTTCTGTTAGCTGGATGGGGTGTGACAGCAGTAAGGTGTTTCCCTTGGATGGCCAGCAGTGCCACGCTGATGCTGCCTTCTCAGTGGAAGGGGATAGGGGTAAGGAGAGGTCGGGCCACAAAAATAACACTTCACCATACCCCACGATCTGCCGGGTTAGTGGTGTTGGTCCATTTGTCGTTTCTTTTAGACCATCCGGCCCCAAAACAACAAAGTTCAAATAATCACACACAAAAGGCTGATTACGACAGGCCTCAAGCAGATGTCCGATGTGCTCTGCGATCACACAAATCTCTTTCAGATATCTTAAGAATAAATAGCCTTCCACGGTGTGGGCAGCCGGGAAGTGTCAACCGCCCTCACAACTCTGTCAACACTCAAGTTTCCTCAGACTGCTATCCACCTCCACCATTATTTCCTTCACGTCTCTCAACCAACGATACTACATCATCTTCAATTTCTCCTACCACTGCAGCCTTTGACAACGATCCGAGTCCACAAAACAGCACCTTTGGTCTCCTTAAACCATACTCCAAATTACATATTGGAGCCATCAATATCCGCACCCTCCGTCGAATCGGTCAACAGGCTTCGTTGGCAAAGACTCTAGCAACTCGGGCCATGGATGTGCGCTGTGTTTGTGAGACACGCATACAGGACCCAGGTGCGATTATTCACCTGACCTCTCCCGACCAATCTGGTGAATCCGCAAAATCGACCCTTCGACTTTCTGGAGATTCGACATCTGGCTTCCGTGGTCTTGCAGGTGTAGCACAGCATTCAGTGCTAGGGCAGATAGCTCACTACTAGACTGGATCCCAGTTGATAGTCGCCTGTACGCTATCCCATTGGACGGCACAGTGAGAACAAAAAGGAATGGTGAAACTCGCAGTTGTCTCTTTGTAATCTCCGCTTATGCACCCACTGACTGTAGTTCAGATGAAGTGAAGGACGAGTTCTACCATTAACTGTCTAGCCTCCTCTCGAAAGCCAAACGTTCGGACGTGGTGGTTGTTGCAAGTGACTTCAATGCACAGGTGGGTAGACTGAGTGTGGCATAGAGGCACTAAGGTGGCACTTACAGAATCCCGGCTGAACGGACAGATAACGGTGACCACTTACTACAACTAACTGCTTATTTTTCGCTAGCGCATGCTTCAAATATGAAGGAAAACACTATCTAACGTGGCGTTCACCGAGCTCAACTCAGCAATTGACAAACAGACCACATTGCTATCAGTTATCACCGGAGAAGGTTGGTGGGAAGATCACCGCTCCTTCTGGAGTACGTGTTTGGATAGCAACCACGAGTTGGTCCGAGTGCGTATATACCTGCGTCTCAATGGTCGTAGGAAAAATTTGGCAACAAAACCATTACGAGTGCAACTCGACAACGAAAACACCAAAGCCGCTCTCAGTGAAGAATTGGCTACGCAGTTATCGGAACAGAAGACTATCACTCATCCGGAAGAAGCTTGGTCCCATATCCAGTCGGTGGAGACTGTAACTGACTCCGAAACAGTGGCTAAAAAGAGCCAGTGGATATCAGCAGCTTCTTCCCAACTAGTGGATACACGTGAACCCATCCTGCAG